AAATATAAGAATTGCACTACTGACATCACGTTATCATGTGACACCCGTGATACCACTCATGCGTTGCTATTCCGAAGGACTAAGGTGCCATACCTCTTACCCTGTAATTTCACTGTCTAATCTGCATTCCATAAACGAAATACTGAGGTAACCAGGCTGGCCATATTTTACAGTCTTACTAAAACCAAATGATGCATATAATGCATTTTAAGTATTCAGTTCTGTCAAATAGTGATAAGGATCGTTTTAAACTATCAACCGTACCATGCTACATTGCGCGATGTATCTATATTCATATTCTTACAATGAAACAACGGCTGTTATATATAATACCTTCCATAATTATCTATTTCACTCTAATAATATAATAATTGTTATCATTCTTTAAAACCTTATGTAAATAGTTGTGCGTTTCTTCATAGTAACTCAGTATAAAGCAAGGTCTCTTATAATCCTAGTTAAAATGCTTGTATCTATAATAAATCAAAATAAACATTACGTTGAACGTTACAGATCAGTTATAAGCCGCAAATAAAGCATATATCTATGTAAATATACGTGCCTCACTTTTTGCTTAGCAAAACAACACACAAATAATTAAACAATATCACTGTACAAATAAAAGCGGTGTTCAAAAATACTCACTATTACTTATATCAATCCAACATTAGAATTGCTCATACAGTCAGCTTCATGTAGGTATTAAATGACAGGAATTTTATTCAAACAATTCAGAAGCGTCCCTAATATACGACTTTGTTTGAGGAGTACGAACTGTCGTGAACATTTCAAACTTTAAATTTCATTATTTATTATATTCACATAAATATTTTAAATAGAAATAAAATAAATTTGGTAACTACGTTTTTAAATTTTATCAATTCTAAATGTAAAATATGTTACGTAAAATGATGAAATAGAGAGGGGTAAATATAATAAGGATGAGGGGGCAGACAATAATCATGAAATTTGACTGACATGATATATGAATGGCCCTTAAAGCTGTTGACCGCATCTGACCTTTGCAGCTTCACTCCTAGCTTACATATACGACTTTAGCCCAAGGGCACTGTAAGAATTGACCTGACATTGATCTGAAATTCCAAGAGATATTCTTGGAATTTCTGATGGCATCCACCACCACTCTGGACGGTTATAAAAATACAAGCAAACTTGCAAGTTCCCGTATATATTATAAATGACCTAAATATGTTTTTCATTCGATATATCGCATGATAATTTTGTCATATCCTGACATATATATGAATCTGACTGTACATACTTAAAATATAATAGTATTCGAACTGAAACATAAATATGCTATTAGGTAAAGTTGACTATATTCATAATTGTTTAATGCCAATAACTTTGAAATATAACAATCAAACCTGGAGAAATATTTGACAAAACAAAACTGTGTTAAAAGTGAGATTATACAATTTTGAATTAAGAAGCATATTTTGTTCACCAAACATTAAAAAAAAATTGTATTAATTTAATTAAATAAATCATGTGTAAATAAATTATGAAATAAAGTCCGTAAATCAGTTATTAATTTTTATCATCCTATAATGAGGGCAAGAGTTATAACTGTGACTGTCAGTTTGAATATTGACTAAAGCACTGTGCAATTTCATTCAAAATCTAACAACCACATTTTTGTCAGTGGGTATATTCATATAATTGGAATCTCCACTAGTAAATACAATAAATGCCTTATAACTATGCGACCAAAATTCACATGCTATCCGATATTACGTCACTGTCCAACCAATAAAAAATGCTTTTAAATTTTTGATATGTATTTAACAAATCATTGTCAAGACACAACCAATTCGTCGATTTTGCTATATAGGTCCAAGTGAGTACTCTAAGCGGAATCTCAGTTTCTTAATTCAACGAGTCTCATCTTTCATTTATAATTTCACTTGAATACTTCGTGCATTTTTGTATATTTCTATGTATATATTGACTGCCTATTCCATTTAAGTTATTACGTAGAGTCACGTGGGGTAAGCGTGCGCAGCGGGTAAGTGTACGCACTCGAAGTATTTCAAAAACGGTTTATAGGTACGAACTGATAACACCCCTCCTCATTAGCGCACAAAAGGCTATACTTAGTGCAACTTTTTCACTGTCCGCCGGTGAACCATTTTGTTTCCGTAAGTGAGTATTGTTTTTTGCTTGAAATATTGCGATTTTTGTCTTAAATGAGAGACTCATTCCTTTGTAATATATTTATATTTTGAAATCATGCTTTATACCATCGAACAGTACATTTTATGTAATATAAGCCGTGTTTAATCTTTTGGTGATGACGATTACGTAATATTGCTCAGTTCTGGTTAAATTTTATTTTGATGGTTTGGGGTAAGTGTGCGCATACGAATGTCGGGTAAGTGTGCGCATGCGAATACTTACCCCGCTCCGCTTTGGCTTTGTATTTATGGTGCAATTTGTTATTTCAGAGTTTAATTATACATAAAAAATGCCTCGATTATAAAAGAAATGCCGGATAGAAGTGTTGTCACAGAGGAACAGCTAGAAGCTGTTAAAAGATTAATTTCGGAGGTTGGTAGCAAACGACAGTGTGGCACCCGCAATAATGAGTATACCTTCGTCTAGGAATGAATATGTACGACTTTCATCCATCCAAGAAATACCGAAATTGGCCTTAGGCATTTCTTGGATGAATGACTGTGATTCAAAATCGGCGAAAGAAAGGCAAAAAGTCAATCATTGATACTGTAAGTCCTTATAAAGTAGAATTGGAAAAACAAAAAACAAGAGGAAGAATAAATTGCCAAAAAAGAAGATACGACTTGATCTGAAAATAAATAAAATGATGAGCAGGAATTATTTTGCCCACTGTGTGGAGAAAAATACATATTTCCACCGAATGAAGACTGGATCCAATACAGCATCTGTAAGAGCTGGTGGCATGAACAATGCAATAACTTTGAAAAGGAATTATTTGAACTGATGTATTATTAGGTTGAGGATGTCTATTTTCTGGTTTATCATATGAGTCTGACTCTATTTACTGTATGTTACATGTTGCGTACACTTACCCGCACTACTGCGCACACTTACCCCTATACTTGGGTAAGTGTGCGCATTTAAACAGTTTTGATTTTGTTGATTTCCAAAGAATTTGTGTAAATGATAATTATTTATTTTGCGTTTAAGTTGTTGATTATTAAATATTTTATATAATAAACCTTGTTTTGTTCCAGTTAACTTCAAATATTTTATTATATGATACTTCAAACCTTAAGTGCGCACACTTGCCCCACGTGACTCTACTAACGTACTCAAGTTATCACACCACCGTATCTGTCGTAATAATTTCATTGATTGATGATTTCAATGATTCAGTTAGATTCAGTGATTGAAGTTGTCAAATTTCTTCATGGTCCTAGCAAGCCTGTGGACTGAGCAGTGTAAATGAGAAGGAAAAAGATTTTGAAAGAAATTCCTCTCCGCGACACGTAATTTTGAATAAAAGTACACCGTAACAAAATAGACGCTCTGACACTATACCACTTATGTTAGTGGTAAAAAAATGTTATTTGCATAAAATATACCGTAATCTGTATTAACATACTGCAGAAATAAATAATTCAACGAATTATTCAAATTATAAATATTATATTATTATACAGAGACGTCGTACTCCAATCAGTACAAAATCAGTACATAACACCTTATATGACAGTACTTCAGTCCACCCAACATCTGACGTGATGATAGCATGTGTATTTTGGTCAGTTTTTGTGCAATAATTTCATAACTCCTATCTAATGAACTACTAAATGGTTGCCATATAACAAAATGATTATGGCACAATGCGAGATATCATATTGTACTATTATAGTAGCTAAACGAGATATAATTTTCTTAAATCGTTGTCCAACTTCGACTATGTTTGTACAAAGTACCATTTATTACAGTTAGCACCTAATTTCATAAATACCCTTTAAGTACGCGAAAATTATAACGAATGTTACTGTTTTTTATCAGTATCATAAACGATAATACATTCAATATTTAAACCTAGAAAAGCATTGTAAAATTTAGCACAATGAAACGTAATTTTAGAAATTGTTGAACTTATTCAAATTGTAGTATTTTAGGATCGTCTAATTTAACAATAATTGGCAATAACAACAGACGAAATATATTAGACATTATTTATAAAAGTCATATTAAAAAATGGTTTTAAATAATATACAAGTAATTTTGACTTGTACTTAGTTTCATTCAATCAATATCCTTTTTCGTCATTGTATGAAGTGATTAAGGAAAAACTACTTTTCATTACTCACAGAAAAAATATAGTAGATGTAATAAAATAATATAAATGCAGCAGCAAGATCTACAATATTACGTAATGAGGTCAGAACTAGACATCACTATTTTCTAAAAAATACGAAATGAGGAATACTTAACAGCCCGAAAAATCATGAGATAATTATAATTTTCTTTCCAAAATTATGTCCACGAGCTTAGTCTTAATATAACAGTTAATACTTTAGATGCTGAGTGAATTCACCAATCGCGATAAAACTATGTTTATTCTTGATTTTAATTAAAATTTAATCTGACAGGAAATCATTTAATGTATTAAATAGAATAATTCGCTGTCACTCAAATTGAAAACGTATGAGATATGCTCCTCAAAATATTATACAAAAACATTACTCTAAAAATAGACATCTACATCAAAATGGAAAGTGGGATTTTGTGGTTAATTCTTAGTGCAAGTGCTTATCGGATGTTGAATAACCATATATTATACAATAACTCATGTGCATTCCACTAAGTCTTATTAGTAGTCAATACATAGAGAAAATAACGAGTGGGAAATGTACGTAAAAAATTAGAAATATTCAATTATTACATTATACAGTAAGTAGTGTTTGAAATGCAACAATTAAGTGTCAAATATAGGACACAATATTTAGATAGCTTTTGAAAGAAAAAACTTTGTATATCTATTTTAAAACATAAAATGTTAACAGTTGACTGTTTGCAGATGTATTTTTTGTCAGGTATCCGCTGATTTCATACCCATTTTTATGTGAAATCACGCTAGTGTTCCCAGAGGATATTTATCTTTATGACATCCAAGGGATACAGCACTCGCACTATTACAATGTGATATTAATAAAATAGCGAAATAAAGGTAATTGAAACATTACAACAAACATAGTTAACAATTAACAATATCTGACCAAGACTTCTCACTCTGAAATGCCTTTGTCGAGGTATAAAATTACAAATATTAACTATTTTCATCAGCACTCATCTGACCAACGCTTATGTATAGTCTTCAAATGTTCATATGCTCTTCTGGTAATGTTGAGTGTAGGCACAATTTCTAACAATCCATTCTCCCCTATCAAACTCAATCCAGCTAATCCTAAATAAGTATGCATTGGATCCGTAGATGTGTCAGGCCACTTGGAAAAGCCACCAACGACCACATCTTGTGTGTCAAATACATATCGTCTATTGCTATTATAGTTCGTCATATGTAATGTATCTAGTATTTTTAAAGAGGCACCAACCCAGAAACTATAGCACGTGTCAACTGGCTTGTTGGGTCTGCCCTGGAAGCCGTCGACTTGTCTGAACACGAGCCAGCGTTTTAAACCTTCCACTTGCTCCTCAGATAACTTGTCTAATTGATTGGAAAGAGCTAGAGTAGCGAGTGCACAGTATGTGGTGCCCCCGTGCGACTCCAATTCTGGACACTGCGCAATGCCGAAGTCGTAGCTCTGAAAGTAATTAAATTAAGTATAATTAACTAAAATATTATTTTAGTTAATTAACTAAATTATTAACTTTTTGGTTTGTGTACTGGTTGGAATGTACACATACACTAAAATATTATGAGAAAATTCTTACAATACATTAATGAAAACTGCAATCAAATACGTTAAGCCACTTCTGTTCTTTTTAACAACGGAATTTCAGATCTGTGTCTATAAACAGACAATAATTGCAAAAGCAAAATTATCAATTTGGTGACATTCGTATTAAATGTACAATTTAGAAGTCAATTTTCCAATACTGTATGTGGAAGTATATAGGACTATGCAATAATGTATATTACTATATCCAAAATTTCCAGGAACTGCCATATATAGAAGCATATGGCACTAAGGGTACCTACATATATGAAGACAAATAAGTAGATAGAGGAATTCAATACACATACAATAGATTTTAAGATGTAATCAGTAGCTTTCGCGATATTAAATCCCGACCAATCGTCCAAGATATAGCTGACACACGCAGCGCAGTACACAAATCTCATATCTGACTCACAACCAGAAAGTGTAGCAGAGAAGTTCCCTTCTTCTGTTTGTAACACCTTAACACCTGAAATTTATTAAAAATGATTGATATTTTGTATAAAGAAGTTATTTTTTTACGATTTGTAATAATTGTAGGTAAGTATAATAACTTTATCTGTTACTTCTATAATATTTATTACAATTAAACTCGAGATAAATTCAATTGTACAATTTTCAACATTAACACAAATACACATACACAAGATAACTAAAGAGTTATCTGGTGTATTGTTAAGGAAAAAGTAGTAGTCTTATTGTCAATATCAGTTGTAAGTGGTTGTATATGTACCAAATATGGGTTTTTATATCAATTAATATTAAAGAAAATAATTTCAGCTGTGAGGCATCATTCCACTAGATGTTTTATGTACAATAATTGGCATGGCAAACAAGTAACCTGAGCAGACATCTTTTTACAAAATCTATAATGATCTTTCCTATGCAACTTCCTTTTTATTGATACATTTGATTCCTACTCTACCCACCACTCACCCACCCTCTTTGGACTATTATTTAACTGTCCAAAGAGGGTGGAGGGAATAGTGTGTGACCCCCATAAAATTGAATATTGCAAAGTATTTATACCCAGGTATCATATTCTTGATTTAAGTGTCTTAAATAACCCTAAAAAAGTGAGAGGCTAAAAAGTTCGATTTCTTTTAAATTAATTGCAATTATTTGAAAATATATCCTATAAGATATTTTATTATTTATTTTGATATTTTTAAATATAAAAAATATGGATTTCAATTATTACCTTCTACTAATGCTTTCCTATTTATCCTAGACAGATCATCTCCTAAAGTGAGTAGTATGCAGAGACCAGTGTAAGTCATTGCAAGGTGACCACACCGATAATGGTTGTTCTCAGGGTGTAATGGTATATTAACTGTGGAAGAGCCTTGAAAACCACATATTGACATATCACCATCTGAAAATATTACATAAAAAGTATTAAATTTTTAAACTTGTCTTAAATGACAAAAAAGTTCAGTACTTCAAGGAAGATCAAGTATCCTTTTTTCATCCAGTACTTGAGAAACAGAGAAAGAACAAGAAGTTTGTATTCATAATCAACCTTTTTTCATAGAAACCTTCATTTCATCAAAGGGCAAATGCTTTAAAGTATTTGAATAAATCTTCTAACACTTTAAAGCTGATTAAAAATCGTAATTAAATTAATCACGTAATTGCAAAGCTTTGGACAAATTCATGGACAAACAAACTCTGAGGGCACTATTTATCTGCGATAAAATTAAAGATAAACTAATTTAATTTAATACTATAACAAAAATACAGAGCATGATAAGCTACTTAAGTAAGCAAGTATATACATATTTGCATATGACATATCAGTATATGGTAGATATTTAGGTAAGTACTTATCTATTTACTATAGTAACAATTTAGGTAAATTCAACTAAAATCCTTCTCTTATTACAAGTACAATTAAATGATACTATTTGAATATGAAAACTCAATAGTACATTATTAAAATATTGACTTATTCATCCTACAATATACTACAGGAAATGTCTACTAATTCCTTCTTAATATTGTTTCATTAAAAATATTTTCCTCCAACATTGTTTAATATAAGCTTGTGGTAATGGTTTGTTGAGATGTAATTTTTTTTTCTCATACAGAACAATAAAACTTAATACTGCCCTTGAGCAGGTTGTAAATAAACAATGATGAGTTGAGATGAGATGAGAATAATGAGCTTACCAATTACACTCCATGGAATTTGATTAACAATTATTTTAGGTATTGTAAAATACAAAAGATTTATTTTGCATTTGAATTGGTTTTCAATTACATACAAGCTCAGGCTCACTACATATAAACTATATAGATAGATTATCTTATTGTTAAAAATGATAAAGATACGTACTTTTAGAAAAAAACACCTATTTATAACATATTTTTTTACCAAGGTGTGCTCTTATTTCCACTATGTATATATATATATGTATGTACAATGAATTTTGCTGCTAAATTTATCAAATATAACAAAACACTTACTCTCTTCATTAGGCTTCACTTGTAACAAGTAAATCCATTCAATAATCCTAGAACTCAAGTCTAATGATATTGATGATATAGATCCAAGGACATCAAGGCCACAAACTGAAAAATATGCTATTGTAACCCTGAAACAACCCAAATATAAGTCATTAACTTGTTGTGAATTTATACCAGTAATGGAGATATTATTTGACCAAATAAAAATAATCATCTCCATTCCAGAAACAATAGGTATGTTGACATGCTTATATGATATATTATAAACACTTTTTGACCAGAGTTAGACTGTAAAAGTTATCTATATAGATACCTGAAAGCCACAACCTCTCTGCCAAGAGTGAACGACTGAAGAAGAAGATATAGATACCTCTGTCTCACCTATTTCAGACGCCATGCAGTTTGCTTTTTTGTGGGCTGTGTTTCAGTTGCATTAGGTATTCTAATTACAGGATAAGAGGCATGATATCTTAGTCCTCTAGAATGGCAAAGCAGGAGTGGTTTCAGAAGCATCACTTGTAATATCTATTGTGTTGTTCATGGCTAATTTCATACAAAAAAGATCCAACAAACTATTTCCATACTTCAAAATACAGAGTAGTAAAGGTATTACAATGTTCTCAATTTGAAATCAATTGGACATTGGGGTAAATAGATGTCATCCAGAACAATAATGATTCTGTATATTTCCCTAACTTTGATATTGGCTAAATGCGAAGGCAAAGCCAAAGATGGAGTAGGAGAAAAAAAAAACTTGGACAAGTTTTCAGCAAACAAAGCAAAGTTAGTATTCCTTATTTGAATGTACCTTAACAACTATGTTTTTACTTTTACCACAATATTTTCAGAATTATATATAACTTTGTGGTTTATGACAAATAACAATAATATCTATATGTTCCAAATGTCAATAAACTAACTGACCTTGTATATTTTTACTAAAACACGACATTAATGATTAATAGAAATAAGAACTAACTATTGAATTTTTAAAGATTTATAATTGGATAATTTGATGGTTACTTATTTAGAAATTTATTTTATGCTCAGAATTAATAATAAATCATTGTTTGATAACATTAAAATTCTTACCTGGTTGTATCGTGAGACGATAACGTTGAAGGAAGTATATTTAAAAACCGCATAAAGTATTTCACATGCTGTCTATGCGACATATCTTTATTCTCTTCGTTATTCATATTTACAGGCAATTTTTAGGTGCAATTTATTGAAAACAAGTGTCGGAATATTATCACACGTCGTTCATTGAAAACATAAAAATATAGAAAATATTATATATTATATTGACTGCAATTTATTTATTTCATTTTGAATTCCATTAAATAATAAATTAGTTCAAATGAGAATGTTATATTATATGTACTATATTTTTTTTACACAAGAAATAAAAAAATAGGTAGGGATGGCAGTGTTACCAGATTCTAATTTCTTATTATCTCAATCTTGTTCTATTTTACGTGTATTTGCTTATATGTGAGTTATCACAAAATAAACATATACATCTAGACTAATGACTAGTAGTAAACAAATTGTAGTAGTGTAAAAGTGACCACATGTACGTGTATAATTTATTAAGTTAAAATTATTAGTCGCCGTTTGAAGTAAATTAAACTATGTTTTGTACATTAATTAGAATTTATGTAACTGTCAGTATTACTATAATAACAATTAATACTGAAGGATTATTTTTTTATCTAATGATACAATATACTATACCCTCTAGGCTCCACACTCACAAAACATTATTTTAATTTATAATATTATGCTAGAAATATAAATTTAAAATTAATGAAAATATATTTCAAGATTATTGTGGTCCAGCAAAAATTTAAAGAAGCTAGACGAAAGTCCTATATCGCCTTCTAAACTATTGTATCTTACCTCTTTAACATTAATATTATCTTTTGCTTAAATAATAGTATAAAATATTTGTCATTTTTATCTTCAACACTTTTTAAAAATGATGTACTATGAATAAAAATAATATTTTAAGAATACCCATAAAAGAGTTCTCTAAATTATCTTGTAAATTTTTACCGTAACTCTAGAGACAAAACCCTAACTTACAACACTGTTTAATCGGCCCGTACGGTACTTCGTCCTATGTCAACTTGTTATCAGTCTACAGATCTACTTGTACGGAGGAATGTCAATGTCAATTTAGCAGTTTCAATGGCTGTATGGGGACAGTTTCTTTTGCCTTGTCTTTAAAGCATAATCTGAACCAAAAAATTATAGCTTTCAAGCAAGTTTTTGGAATATCAGACAATTTTTTTATTATATTTAACCGCTCTGGATACTTTTTGAGCCAATCATGACGAGTGTTACCAGCTTTAATAGATGACAAGTTTACGATCTAATACAATGTTATATCGGTATACGGGAGTTGAGAAACGAATTAGAACTCAGGACCATTTCGCGTAAGTAATTGGTCATTAGTAACTGAACAAATAATTGCAATGGTCGTATGACACCTATTATTTGGTTTGCTTCTATTAATACAAATGGCTGGTAAAACATAACTTATTTTTATTTTACACAATTTATATTTGATAAAAACCAAATTTTTAGAGGAGAAAAATAAATGGTTTTCTGGTAACACTGCCGCAATGCCACTGCAACACTGGTTTTTTTTGTCTCTGGTTCTTTTTCATGGCTGACTTTCTAAGGATCGTTCTACAGTCATGAAGGTTCATATTATTTATTTCAATAATTATTTAATGGTACCTCAGAATAATACCATTAAAATTTTGTTAATATATCTACCCAAAGAAAATATGCGTTACAATTTTTTTAACTTGTACGATTAATTTGATAATGTCCGATAAATATTACCGTGTTGTGTTGTGAAGTGAAACTTCATGCCTAATGTATTAATGTAATTTTTAAATGGAAATCGTTGGTTATAAAGTTAATAACGTATAAATACATTTTGTAGTGTAGGTGGCAAATATGTGTCGGGTCATAACTTCCAAAATTGAACTATGATTGTTTATAACCTTAAACTCAATTCCTTAGCTGAACGTCTCCTACCCGGCTACGGGATGTCAGAAGTTATTCGAAGTGGTGGATGAGCACAAGCTCCGCATCTTCTACGAGAAGCGAATGGGCGCTGAAGTAGAAGCGGATCAACTAGGAGACGAATGGAAGGGCTACGTACTCCGTGTCGCCGGCGGCAATGACAAGCAAGGTTTCCCTATGAAACAAGGAGTTCTGACCAACAGTAAGTCCGCACCAGAATACTGACTAAAAACCATATTCCCTTCGTCCGTCTTTGTGTCTTGTGTCTTCACATTTTTTATAACTATATAAAACATTTTATAGTTATAAAAAATGTCTTAACTAAAATTTTAAAGTGCTACTACAAAGTCAATTGTATCTATATTATTATAATAATAAACAAGGACAATTCACACTGCAGTACTAGATAACTTTTAGAAATACTTAAATATAATAAAATAACTGGATTGATGCAAATAGGAACCTAACCGCTACATCACTGAAGCATGTTATATGTAATGTAGTTGTATTACATATTTGTAAATTAAGTAGAAAACATTTAATCTTATAATATTTATTTTAAAATCTCCTAATGTTAACTGTACTTCACAAAAAAAGAGCTTGAACTGTAATAAATTAGAGAGTTACTGAATATAATATAATATTACAGGTCGTGTGCGTTTGTTGATGTCGAAGGGCCACTCATGCTACAGACCACGTCGTGATGGTGAGAGGAAACGCAAGTCTGTCCGTGGTTGCATTGTTGATGCCAATCTCTCTGTACTCGCTCTTGTTATTGTCCGCAAGGGTGCCCAGGTGAGTAAATAAAACTTACTTTTTATGATACTAGTACTTGTGACCCATCTTGTACTTAGAATAACTGTATTGTTCATATATCTTTTCATCTTGTTTAGTTAGATATAGTTTATAATAGTAATAAAACCCTTAATTCAGAAATTACAATATTTTTTACTAAAATATATATTTTATTTATTGTAAAAAGAACTCTCTAATTTCGGTCTTTTGGCATAGGTTTCCTCCAATGACTTCCATCATCTTCTAGCAATTACTATTATCCTCCATTTGGTGCCTACTTCAACACATTTACTTTACATTAATTTCAACTTGTCTTCCCATTTCATTATGAACCTTATCCTGGAATTGTATCCTAGAGATGGAAAGAGAAGGCTCTTCCTATATCTTAGATTCATTCCAGTATTATCCTACTCAATTTTGCCCTTGTGCATTGTAACATGCATCATGTGGGCAGCCGAACACCACTTCTACTCAGACATAGTTTGGTTACTCTGTAAATTCTTTTTATTTTATGTAACTGGAAGGTACACTTGATGGTATGTGGTAACCAGACACCAGACTTGTGAAGTGACACTTCTAATAGCCCTTAGGTGCTGCTACTCATGAGAACTGAGGCCGATTATATTTATTATATTATATACATAGTTGTTATATTTAACATATAGACAAATAGAACAATTATAAACTGTCATAAGTTAATGAACTGAATTATCCCTGTTCTTACTGTTTCCCAGATCTCCAAATCTAGGGTAATTATATGCGGCAGGGTATAACATATTGGTTTATATGTTTTGTCATTTATTGCTTACTATGCAGTATGACATACACTTATACACCAGACAATTTAATTCTAGATAATTTATTTAAATAGGGTACAAAACTACAAATAAAAGAGTATAGTAATAACTCTTTTAACTAGGAAAAATTTCAAATCTCAGCATCATCTAGTACTAAGCAAAACTGTGCTTGTATTATGGGTACTACACAAAACACCCAGACTGACACAAAAATAATACTTCATGAATACAAATTTTTTGATTGTGCAAGAAAACGAATCTGTAAACATGCAGTGTGCTAGACTGGCTGACTGTTAGCTAGACCGTCAAATATTCAAAAGAGGCAAGCAAATATATCCATTTTATAATCCTTTATGACAGACATTTTATGGAATGTAATAACTAATGTAATTGTTATTTTAGCTAACTAGCCAATATCAGACTCAAATTACTCACTTATTATATATTAGCTGGTTCAAGCAACATCTGATTTTGTTATGTAAAAGTTAGTCTGTCCGTATGATACAATATATTTTGTAGATGGAAATACTTCCAGATTTATAATATTACTGTAGATAAAATAGAATCCATTATGCAATGTTCATAAGTGACAGTTTTGCAAAATTGGATAATAGAAGTGACACAGAGTAAAGAAGTGATGGAAGTAAGAATTTCCACCACATATACTATTTGTTGTAAGGTATCTGAATGGAATTTTCCATATTGCAGGAAATTCCCGGACTCACTGACGGCAATGTACCCCGCCGTCTTGGACCTAAGCGTGCGTCTAAAATCCGTAAGCTCTTCAATTTGACTAAAGAGGATGATGTTCGTCGCTATGTTGTCAAGCGTCTCCTGCCAGCCAAAGAAGGCAAGGAGAATGCAAAACCCAGATATAAGGTAAATAATTATAATCATAAACAATTCATGACGAATGATATCAAGACTATTAACTAGAACCTTTGATTTGATAGTTATTAATAAAACAAAACATTTACGTATACCTACTTAAAAATAATCAAGTGTGTAAAAAAGTCAGTTACATCACACACACTGCTTTAACCTTTTTAATACTATTGCTATTTTTACATAAAAATTATTATGAAATGAATGTCATTTGAAAAAAGTCAATACTAATATTAAGTGCATTTTATCACTTGTTGTTCAGTAGCAATTTTAAGTACATTTTCACTTTGAACGTTTCAACAAGTATATCTGAACAAAATATATAAAGAACTAAACATTTTACTTTATTGCACCCTGATTTCAATATTGTTTACTAGTTTCATAGCAAGTAAACAGCAGCATCAGGGAATAAAATCTTAGCACCGAGCAGAAGACTCAGGCGACAATGTCTGTTTACTTTTACAGTGTGCTGAACATTTTTCAGTAGTAATAAGCTATTACTTTAGTATAATTTCAAATTTTTCCTTTTTTACACTTTCAAACTTGCAAATAATGCCAGTAAGATAAAAAATTCCAACTTACTAGGGACATGTTGCTGGAAGAGAAGTTACATAATTAATTCTAACAAATAACGTTATGTTGCAAAACTAATGTATAATTTTCTTTTTTAGGCCCCCAAGATTCAAAGGCTAGTCACACCTGTCGTTCTGCAGCGCAGACGTCACCGTCTGGCACTTAAGAAGAAGCGTCTGGCTAAACGCAAGTCATCCGAGGCTGAATATGCCAAGTTGCTTGCTCAAAGAAAGAAGGAATCCAAGGTATTAATATCATATATTATTTAGCCTATACTTTTAGAACAAATATTACTAATTACAATTGCTATATGAAAAGTTGGCTAACAACTCATATATATAAGTCGGATATTTGTATTATACAACTATTCATATTGTTTACCATTTAAATATTCAGACAGTCAATACCATATGGACACATTTTGTGTGTTGTTTGTATTGAGCTGTAATAGAAAGGTGCTGTGTCTTACCCCTTGGTTTATCCTTAATATATGCTAAGGTATTAAATCAGCAACAAAGTTATTATGTTACATTATTTCCTATTCTCCCAAAAGCACAATGCAAATCTTGTTAATCAGTCTCTTTGGCGGGCTAAAATAGTACCATAGCTATTTTATGTTTACTCACTGTATTTAATTAGGACAAATAAAAGGAGCAGAAAGTGTAATTAACTGAACAAATTGTTTCTTCACATTTGTTCTGTTGAAAATATAACCATATGTTATTTATATCGTTAAATAAATATTTACCTAACTTTATAACACCAATAAGTGTTTTTGAGAATAAGAATTTGACTCGGACTTTAGATTTATATTTTTTTATAGGTACGGCGCCAGGAAGAAATTAAACGCAGGCGTTCGGCTTCAATTCGCGATTCAAAGAGTTCCAGCCAGAGTGCTCCCCAAAAGTGATCAACTCTATTATTATTATAATAAAAAAAAGTAAAACCTAATATTGTTTTTTATTAACTAGCATGATATTAGGCAACGCTACGTGCAATGCAATAACTTCTGCTTTCTTCATCCATTGCCGATGTATGAATCCAAATCATACAAATTAATAGATATACATATAATATTATCTTACTCTTCACATACTATTATTGTTTTAATAATAGTTTTAACATCAGATATGGTTAAAATAAGGCTTGCTCAGACAAGGGAGACTTCTCTGAATACTCTTAGACCGGTCACTCATTTCCTGTAATGGCGAACTGTGCCAAATCTCTTAGCGTCAACAGCAACTGTTCGCCAACATGCCGCCCTAAATCAAACTTCTGTGACTACAATGTCAACTAGTTTCTAAATGAGATAACGACGACAATATATTTCATAATATATTAAAATTAAATATGATATGAAATCAATGTGCTAGAAGTTTGATATAAATATATTTATTTCTGCGTACAAGATAATAAAAGTACTGATTTGACCATAACGGCCCGGTATCTATTGTTTTTAAATAGACCCACGATATTGTAAAGCTATCTATATGTAAGTAAAGTTCATAGTCTTCGTGTATCGTTTGCTGCCGCTCCGTAACACGTTCGATTGGCACATTTGTTGCTATGTCCCGCCCTCTTTCAAAATACGCTAATCAAGCAGCATCAGCGTCACATTTCATCTTTATTGAACTTAATGTGATCGTAGTTTTAGAAATGGCAAAATAAGGAAACCGCGGCGGCATATAATCTACGTAGATGACATGAATTTTATCCTTTGCGAAATATCTCGTCTGCGAAGTCTATAGTCTAATCAGAGGCAATACTACCAGTTAGGATATTTCAGACATATTTTATCTATAAAATATTTAGATTTCAGCAATTAGAAAGACATTTAAAAAAGTATATGTTTATTTCATAGTCAAAAGTGATTAATATTATTACAAAACAATTTCGAACACTATATTTAAAAAATTGCACCAACGATTTATTATAACAGTTATCTTTAGTACGTTTATATTGTTTTTAAATTTGTTTTTTATTCTGAGACTTCAAAAGTCCTAATCCAACATAACGCGCCATTACCCGAAGATAGGATGGATTGAGTTTCTTACGTTTTTCCAAAAGAGATTTCAGTAAATGTTCTGATGACTCGTCAAATGGTCTTTGATAGTCCGATGCCTAGAAAACATTTTTAAATACATTTATATATACTGAAGAAGGCCAATTATCATATTTATACATATTTCAGTCTTGTCTGTTAAGCATTTGGCACCTAGTAAATCATATCGTCACCTATAGACATGTATAACGCTACTACGACCAAAAAGTTGTCTCGTAGCCCACGGCCCTTACCTCTATACACTAACTTCACTGCCATATCTCCCTTTTCAATCTTTCAAGAATTTGATAAGACATACCCTCGGTGGTTTCAAGCCTACTGTATAATTGAAAGCATTCAAAATAATGAACATTTACAAACTAACAATACGACATGTGAAAATACTACGATAATTTTAATATAATTATCGTATCGTATTAATATAAATAGTACCTAATAAAAAAAATCTTACAGTTGTCTTTGCAATCCAATACAATTCCTCCAAAAGATTGTCATGGCTTTCTATGACTTCCGGCAAATATGAATACCCTTCATACTGTAGAAAAAAAATTAGTAAAAACTGTAGACACATTATGCAGAGACGTATTCTCGATTGTTAGTTTATAATGAGAAGAGTGTTAACTCGTCTTATATAACTTTGCAGGGTTTATATATTTAGACAATCTTTAATGAGTCTACTTTAAAAAAATGGCGTGCCCCGACCCACTGCAGCTCATCATTCGTATTACATTCTGCACTGATACCAACCTCCACCTACCAACTTCATTTTTGCTTAGCATTTTATCTGATTTTTTATATTTAACTGTCATTTAAAGAAATCCAAAATACTTGCATCATCATTTATCTACATAAACATAAGGTTTAAATTGTTTTGTTACCTAGTTTACAAACTCGGTGTAAACTTATACACTCGGTGTGTAATTCGGTGACGTCATTACCAGTAGGCGCTAGGAAAGTGGTAGTGTCAGAAATGTAATAAGAACGGGGTTAGGGGACAAAAATTTAGGGAATTCCTTCGACGTAACTTATGAATAGCCCATAAAATTGTAATTTTGCTTACTTGGGGCAGTTTATTGAAATTCTCTCTTTCGATAACTTCAATTTCCATGTCAAGTTCAACTGCCCGCGTAATCCTATTTACTGCAATTCCTTGTAACAGAACAGGCCGAAACCGCGCCAGGTTTGGTGTATCCTTCTTGTTAACTAACAAAAGAACCAACATAGCTTGTCTCTGACTAATCTCGGTTATCCAGTTTTTCATCTGAAACGGCTGAATATTAATAACGGGGGAAAGGGGATTGTTAGTAATGTGAACTGATAATCTTATTGCCAGCAATGTATCATGTCAGATTGACCTCCACGCGGTTTCCCCCTGGAAACCATCGTGGTAAATTCTTAGTGATTTTGGTCTGTAGGTACATAGAAGATGAAAAACTATCACTGGCTGCATTTACGCGATTTTGATTCAGATATTTATTCACCTAAAATAATTAACAATAAAAAGTTAAATAATAGAATTCTTGCTTACTTCTGTTACACAGGACAATATTTTTTTGGATGCGCTTCCTTCAAAAACGCCAGATAAAACTTTTCCTGAGCCAAGAGCTTGAAAGAAATTATTTAAATTCACAATCTTACTTATAGATGTAGTACTTCTTTCTGCCGATATGTTAGATGTCGACTTGCATTTTCTATAAAGTCTTACGAATCTATTCTTTGTTTTATTACAAAAAGCGTGTTTTTGTGATAATTCATTTTTCTCCTGAGGTTTACTACATTCTATACACCGATGTGGTGCATACTCAGTTGTAGCATCTAATTCTAAATCTTTATTGTTGTTTTTCGATATACCACTACTATTACTGTTTATTTTCAAATGATTAACGCCAAAATAAAAAGATATTCTTTTTTCTTCGTTTAAATTTGTTATATTTATGCCAATATTCTGATTCATATATTTAAGCAAAAAATGCGATGCTAAAACAAACTTGTTCATGGATTCGTTATCAGTGAGTATATTAATAAAACTATATGTTACGAAGTTTTGAATTAAACTGTGCTTTGATGCCTTATACATTTGTAAAGCAGAGCAGGTAGATTTATCAGCTATAGGAGAAGCTATAATATTGGTTTTAGGCGACATAGAATTAGTTATCTGATTTAAATACTTCTCAGGTCTGAGAGGACGCTGTATAATGTGCAATACAGAAGAGACATTGGAAGCATCCCCTAGTAGTTCCCGTGCCATATCTAATTCGTATAGTATTATGTTATTTACTTTTATTATTTTCGATAACGACGTTTTTGGACGAAAATATCCAGATATTAAACGTTTTAATTTTAATGACATGTTTAGTGACAATGGCATCTTTCTTTTAAATATATCATGGCTTTCACAATGTGTTAATTCTGTTATTGTGGATAAATGAGATTCAGTCTTATCTAACACAGCAGATGGAAAAGGCAGTAGTGTGTTAGTAATATTGTGCATCAATTTCGGTACAATACAACACAATTCGGCAGGTAGCATAGCATTTAATATTGTTGTTTTACATTTGTATATCCTTGTGTGACTGTCTGTAATTGTTAAAGGTATGCACGTTAATGGTTTTCGTACACCCAAAGATATTGATTCCGCTTCCAGCAGCATGGTTACGTCAAATTTAATCATAACGTTTGTTACGCAATGTTTCACTGCTATTTCTTTCGTATTTAGCGTTTTGATTTCTAGAGCTGGTAAAGTAATATCGAAACCGGGTATATGTTCTAAACAGTCTATTTCAGATTCTAATATTGTGGTTTCTAACAACTCCGATGTTTTCTCTTCCTTGTTGATTGTGTTGTTGGAAACAATTCTTAAGGCATCCGATATTGTTTGTACAGATGCTTCCTTGAAATCTAAAACAGTGTGATAATAATTAACGATGAAGATTATTAAGATTTTCATGTACCTATTGTGTTTTAACAAGTATAACTAACCTGAACAATTATTTTTAACCAAGTATTTATTTTCTGGAGTGTAATAAATGCCAGTTGTTATATTTTTTATTACATTTTCAATCAAATCATTTGCCCATTTTCCCTTTGCCCATGTGTATCTCGTATTTATCGATCTTTTGATTTTACACAATGATCTTGAACTCACTGCAGACACAATTGAGAATCCTTTATTACTATTATATTCTATAAAAGTTTCGGTACTTGCATCAATTTGTTTCCCGATGCTTATGTCTGTGCAAGTATTACTATGCTTGTAGAATTTTTCATTTCTTTGTCCACCTGTTTGTTCATTATTATTGCATACGATTTGTGTAGAAGATTTCTTGTATAGAAGTTTCAGCATTTTGTCTTTGAACTGTCGCATTGGTTTAAACTTTTTAGCTTGTTGCTGGCTATAATTATTAGTTAATGTGCTCGTAGCATTTGGTTGATAATCCATTTTATTTTTACACACAGAATGATCTAAGATTTTTTTGTCTTTTATATAATTATCCTTAGTTAACAAGTCCTCACGATCAATTTTCCTTGTAACATTTACGCTATCTTTAGCTCTTGTATAGCGATTGTTTCTTTGTAACGAACATTCCACATCGTTATGATAATATTTCAATTTGTTTACTTTTTTAACATCTACATTGTTTTGACTATACCAATCTACCATAAAAGGCCATATGTGCTCGTCCAGACCCTGAAATTGTTCATAATTCTCTACATGTATAGGCGTAGTACTTATTTGATCTTTTCCAAGTATTATTATAGGGTATTTTAAATTAATTAATCTTCTTTTTATATCGGTCTGGGTTAATTTTGGATTTATGGATGTACTGGGCATTGTGGTCACCAAACGAGGTTTTCTGTTTCTTACATCATAAAGTTCAGCTGTGACCATATCTGGCGTTTTATTCAGAACTACTTTAGTTATTGCCTTCGACTGCTCAATCGATTCATCGGATGATATTTTGCAAGACTTTTTTACATCTGAAACATTCCTAAATATGAAGATTTTTCTGATTTATTAGAATTGATGACTGGCTCACATGTCATATATGCTCATTATTCATGTACCTAGTCATAATTACATAGATACTCGAGTAACAGTACTAATATTTGTAAATTAAAATTTTTAAAGTTTCGGTTTGAAATTGTTCTGTTCCATTCCGGCTTGAGTAAAAAAAAGTGTTTACCTAGATAATTAACAATATTACCAATTAATTACCCGTTACCATTACCTCTTTTATTACTGATAGTGTTATGAAGACCTGCTTTGCTTGATCCGGAATTTCCAGAATATACAAAACTATCTATAAATTCCGATGATTTGTCTCTTCTAGATTTGTTTGTTTTCGTGGTACTATTATTGGTTTTATGTGCATGTAAATACAAACGTACTTGATCAGAATTATATGACATAGCATTATCTGCACCTAAATATTTTTTTATGCAGACTGGTTCTTTTTGGGTTTGGTTATCAATTTGTTTTAAATTGTTGAAACACGTTTCAATATCATTGTCCACCAGTAAAAATTTCGTCTCTGTATCTTTAGTTACACTTTGTTTATCAATTTCAGCAAATTTTTTCATTGTTCTTGACCATTTTTTATGAGATTTTTTAGTCTTTATTTGACCACAGTTTCTAGTATTATTTACACATTTAGTCTTGTTTTGTGCCCTGACAATTCTCTTTTCGAATTCTTTGCAGATTTTGGTAAAATCGCCTTGTTTATCAATCACCGTAATACGGTCACAACTTGATAAAGGCGAATAATTAGTTGTAGATTTACTATCAACATCAAAGCTAGAAATGTATGCAATTTCTTCAGTGCGGCAAGTTTCAACAACTCTAAATAAAATATAAAGTAAATGTTATATAATTATGGCCTAACTAATTAAAGGATTATTTTTAAAGACAATTCATGCTTACCGTGTATCTTTGCGATTATTACGTTTCTTATTTATACTTTTTTTCTTTTTTTGTAAAATACTATCATCTGATAATGGAGGTGAAGGTCTAAACTGAAATTTGTTTATATTCCTAAGTACTGCCCATACGTCATGCGCATTGCATTCATTGTCAATTGCAGGTTTAAGTGCAATATCGCATTTCTCGGATAACCTTTTTCCATCACTGTTAAATTTATGAAGTATATCACTAGAACTACGGTCTAGGTCTATATTCATTTGTGAGCAATATCGAGCATCTCTATCATAGAATTCAAAATTATTCTTTCTTTGAGATTGTCTTTTCTGCACGCGAGGTTTTCGCTTCTTTTTTGTTAGTTTAATATTTTCTTCATCTCGGTTGTAGTATTCTGAATCGTTCATCTCACTCACAGTACATATTTCAGGTACATGGGCTTTATTATTTGGTAGTGTTAGTACAGACTTTTTATTTTTTTTAGTGTTTCGCTTTAATGGATTAATTTCGTCAGAATTTGCTCTGTAGATAGCAAATGGAAAGGAAGATACATAATCTGTTGCCTTTTTGTGTACAAATCTTTTCTCCGTTACTCTAGATAACAGCTGTACCTTGTCTCCAATGAGATATGGCGATTTGAAATTGGTATTTCTCATCGGTTTACTACATTTACTCGAAATACTGACACCACTTTCTGTGGTTATTTTCGTTATATTTGAAACCGAATTACCACTGTTACGAGTAGAACTATTCGTAGAGTCGGAGGATTTCGGATGAATCTTCCTACATAATTCCAATGAATTTATTGCCATATCCTGGTATTGTTATTTCTAAAATAATATAACGAATTAGTATACAGCAAGTGATTTCAGTGCATTGTGACAGTAATGTTGTAAGTACTTAATGGAGACACTGCTTCTATTTTATAAATTATTTTAGAGTTGTTATAGTCCATTTATCGAGAAAGGCTATAACATTACTGCAACCAATAGAAAGAGTATACATAAATGAAAAATGTTGCAAAACGCAGTCGGGGTTTTCACGACTAACAGAATTAATAAATTAATACAATTTGACGTATAAATAGATTACATCGCATTTATTTTAAAAAAATATACTATCGGTGAAATACGGTTTCTATGGATAATCAATAATTTCTTAAGTAAGGTATATAAAACACCCCAACTTGAAAATAAACGTCTTACCAAAAGAACTAATTATGCTAGTGTAAAACTTTGAGACTTCTAAGATCAGATGGAATGGTTAGCCAAATGTTCAAATTCAAATTCAAAAATCATTTATTCATGTAGGACTTATGAACGTCAAATTTTTACATTCTAATTTCATTTTTTTTCCCTACCGTCCAGTTCGGTATATAGATCCAATTGAGAAGAACTGGCAAGAAACTCAATTGAATTACTTTTTTTTTTAAAGCCAGTTTATTTACAATGTATATTTATATAGGTGTCTATGTCTAACATTAAATGAAAATTCAGTGCATGAACAACTATTGCCATGCACACTCGTCATTCAAGTAATCGTTTAGTGAGTAATAGGCTTTGCTCAGTAAATATGATTTAACAGATGTTTTGAATTTATTTAAGGGTAATTCCAACATATCCTTTGGTATCTTATTGTAAATTTTTATACCTATTCCCATAAAAGACCTATTAACTTTTTCTAAACGATATTTGAGGACAGCAAGTTTGTCTTTAAATCTAGTATTAATATTATGAATATTGCTGTTTTTTGGAAATAAGTCAAGATTTTTATGAACATATAGGAAATTTGAATACATAAATTGAGAAGCAACGGTGAGAATATTTGCCTCTTTGAATTTCTCTCTTAATGAGTCACGACTCTTCATACAGTAGATCGCTCGAACGGCACGTTTTTGTAATATAAAATTTTCAATAAGTAGAAAGTTCAATAAATGTAATGTAAGTAACTTAAATTATCTACATACCTACCTACTTATAAGTAACTCATCGCAAATTATTTACCTTTATACACAGCTCTGTCACTATAATTTCGATCTTACGGCCCTAAAAATACGAAACTACATGTAAATAAACTTATAATTATTTTATAAATAATCAAAAAGCATAATACGCCATTGACATGTATAATACTCTTTTTAATTATAATAGTCATTTTGCATATTTTGTTTATAAAATACAAGTACAAATAAAACCTTTTTGGGTTGAACAACAATGGCCAGGACGTGTTTATTGGATGTCTGTTACTTTATCTTTTCATGGATTAAAATCTATTAATATATCTAATATTATATTACAGTGGACCATGGGTAATCCGGCCCCCCTTGTAATCCGACATGGTCTATTAATTATTATTGAATATTTTTTGACAATATACTTCAGAGTGCATATATATAGATACATATATAACATAGAATCTTATCAGTGGATCTGTAATTTGTCGGATTACAAGATACTCTTTTGTAAAAAAAGTCGGACTATAGGGGACCCTTAGGCAGCACTTTATAATCCGACAAATTCGATGGTCCAACAGTTCCGACAATGCCCTGCAAAACGTTTGTCGGATAATCGGGGGTCCATTGTATTTGTAAATTTATATTTTTACCTATCATATAAAAAGAAAAATTTATGTTATTGTATTTCAATAACAAAGTAACAGCAAAACAAAATTGTAATGCGAAAGCTGTAACAAAAAAAATCGGAATGTTTAATACAACACTTTTTATCGATAGTCTAATCAGTAATATTTGTAGTAAAGACTGATGAGTGATTACTTGCTTAGTATCTATCAATTGATGTCGTTTTAAATGTCATTTTTCTCTGTGTTTTAGTATTGTTTCGAATACAAAGCGCGTATGTAACATTTTAGCAGAATAATTGAATAATTTAAGATCGTTGTATAATGATATGGCAGTACCAAACTTTATACTTATAAACTAAAAAGGTAGTACAAGAAAGTACAAAAAAACATGTTATTTAGATCACCGTTAGTTCTTTTTTTTTCAATCACTTATATGAAAATATCGTCTGTTAAGTTATTTACCATCGGTAGGGTACCATCAAATCGAATCGATATTATTACAACCCTATGACAAAATCTTGTGTCAAAAATGGCATGTCATTCCGATTATTTCATATTTGAATAATCGATCGGTCTGTGTGAAAATAAATACTGAGTCGTCTGAGCCTAGTACTATTTCAGGTTTAAGAAGATTAGTTATTAATTAACTTTGTCTAAAACAATATATTATTACTAATATAAGTGATGACTTCTGAAAGTGAAAATGATATTATACAGTATGTACCATTTATGTCGTTTGTGCACCCATCGTTTTGGCATACCCTCACAGAAATAAAACTGGATGTTGACAAATTATGTGATAGCACCAAGACTATTTACGGTCGCTACACATACAGAGAGGATTTGGCCGCCGTTTTTGAAGTGGATGGGACATCGTTCAACAGGTTTGTAAAACACTTTAAAATGAGTTCCCTTTGTCATGTACTTGATGTAGAAATATTCATACTTTTATTATTTGTTAATTACTTAATTATTATAACAATTAGATTCAGATTCATAACCAAAGAAAAACGATTTCTTTGTAGTTGTTGCAGTATTTTTTGATGTAATTAGTATGGCAAATAAACTGACAGTCCTATAGTAAGTGGTAAACATTGCTTAGATATGTGAACAGTACCACAAACATAATTATCATGTGACACTCATGTTACCACTGATGCATTGCCATTCCAGAGGACTAAGATGTCAAGATGACCTCTTGTCCTATGATTTCACTATACTCTGCTCCCTACAAATAAAACACAGCCTACAAACTCCCTACAAATGAAACACACCTTATAAAGTAAGATGTTTGGCTGCAAAAATAGCTGACATAGAGATACACAAATAGACAACTACTTATAACCTACCTCTAGTTGAGTATTATTTAGAAGATATCTTATGCAAGATCTTGCTATAACATTTTGTGTACTATCAGCCTCATGTAAGTGTACTGTGTCTTAACTAAATTTTCTGCATTCTCAGCAGTTTTTCTTAGTTATATGTGTTACAATAATAAAGAAATATTATGTTTTGGTAGTGTCAAATTATTTAAACAGTTCTTATTAAAGGCAAATATGCATATAATGTAATATTTGCATTTATTTAATTTTAAAAATTTGAGAAAACAATAGGGAGATAAAATTCCATTTTTATTATTATGTTTATTCTATCTAATACTATAACCCTATTATATAGGTATAAGAAACATATCTGGTATAATTTATTATCCCTATGGAATTATTTTTAGCTCTCCACAAACTGAAAAGTATTATGAAGATGTAACTGGAATTATAATGAATAAAAACACTGTAGAAGATTTCAAGAATATTGATAAGGCTGCATTACTGAATACAGTTGGTAAAAATATATGGACAAATATACAGAAGAAGACATGGATTGAAAATCCTAATTCTTTATTGAACTTTCTTCTGATTTCATTTGCTGTAAGTTCTAAAGACTTTATCATTCTGTAATACTCCTATTCTACTACTTTTCAATGGAGTTATATATTTTGAAATTTATATTATTTTGTTAAAATTGTACAAAAACTAACTAAATAGTAATATTATTTATATTTTAAATATATGTATTATTTTTTTCTTATTCGAAAAAAGAAATGGATGCAGGCCATCCATTTATTCATTTTTCATTTATAATTTTACTGAACACTGCTAAAATGTCTATGTGCATATTAATGAGTGACTACTTTAATTGTAATCACATTTATTTTCGATCTATTTGCGGCGCCATTTTGAATGCTGAATGGATATTTGGGGATAGGGTGACAAGAACCATAGGGTTTCTTTATATCTTTATAATAATAAAAATATTGTAGGGATCAACAGAAATATTCATCAGATAGAGTAATCACATTAGGTATTAAATAAAATTGTTGAAATCTAATAACTAAAAGTGTCTAATGAATAAATATGTTAGAGATAATCAAACAAGAGTTTTATAGCATAATAGACATATATTATTATTTTTACTACTATGTTTAACAATTATTTCAAATACTTTACTTTTGCAGGATCTCAAGAAATACCATTACTACTATTGGTTTGCATTCCCCACTCCAAGTCAACCTACTGTGGTTTTAACTGAAAAGCCAAGATTAATATCAACTCAATTCCACATTGATTACCTTGAATTACTAGTTGAAGGCTACCAAGCCTTAAAACCAAGCCAAAGATCATTCTTTATAGTTTTCAAAAAAGATGAAAATTTGACGGTTCTTCCATTGTCAAAAATTATAAAATCAAGTGATTTAAGCATTGACTTAGTATGTTCACCACATTTTTATTTTGCATTTGCTGATTCAAGTAACACCAATAATCCAGGATGGCCTTTGAGACTCTTCATGGCAGCTTTGATTGATCACTTTCCAAGTCTTTTGGGAAAAAATATTCAAGTCATTGGCTTTAGATGCAATGCTAACTTTGAAATAGGAAAAAGTCTTATTTACTCTATTTATATTCCACAGGTAAATATTTGTTTTTATTTTTATTAAGAAAAATGTACAATGCTTTTACCTAAAATGTTTCTCTCTTTATTTTGTTCTTTTTCTTTCACTGTTAGATCAGTTAGCTTACCTTTATATATAATAGCTTATTCAGATGGATTTAACTACAATGGTTTCCAGAGGACACTTTATGGCAGTGGACATTACAGGTGACATGACACCAAGATATTGAAAGATTAGAAATATCAAATGTTTCAGGATGTGCAGTCAGCAGAAAGCGCTGGTTGGGTTGGATGGGAGAGAAATGATAAAGGAAATTTTGGTCCCAAGCTAGCCAACATGGCAGCTTCTATGGACCCAGTGATGTGAGTATTGCAATATTTTCATAGTTAGTATTAATGGCTACTACTTTATATACTGCCGAATGCAGCTGCGCTTTACAGCTTCAATGGATAAAAGGGATAAAAGCTAGATTGAGTGCATTTTTTTAGCTGCATCTGGTTGCAGCTTTACTGTTTCAATGGATAAAAATTAGAGTGACGGCAGAAGGCATTCCAAATTCGCGAAAGGACTTTATGCAACTGCTGATGGCTATCTGTCTGACCGAAAATTTAAGTCTGAGGACACGACTAGCGGTCCAAACCTCAGCTCAGTATGTCGTAATTTTGCCCCTTTGGAATAATAATTACTCTGGACTATTTACACAGCGCCATCTAGCCCCAAGCTAAGCAGAGCTCTTGTTACGGGTGCAAAACAACTGATATAAATACATTTATTATTTCAGTCAAGCAATCATATTCATGAATATAAATTTGCATCATCCGAGGAATCGAACCTGTGACCCTCAGGCGTAATGCGGTTTGCTAAACCGTTAGATCACCGAGATTGTCAGGACTGAAGTAGGAAGTTAACAACATAAACCTAACTAAATGGATCGAGTGGATAAAACTGAAATACCTTAATGTAACATTACAGTCCCGGACAGTGCGGTTTCAGAGAAACTTCCTTCTGCGTACATTAGATTGTGGAATGAACTATTTACGGAAGTTTTGTCGAGAGACTACAGCCTGGGTTTTTCAATAAGAGCATATTAAGGTTTCTTACGTCTTTCGGCAACGCGCACGTGACACCTTTGGTGTTTCAGTCGTCTATAAACTACGATAACCGTTTGCCACCTACGCAGTAAAAAAAACTTTCAACAAGAAATAAGAACATCCAAATCCTTTTTTTTCTGTTTTGAATTATTTCTTAAGCTTTAAAGAATCATCAAGAATTTGTTCTACTGTATATTCTACTGCACTACTAATTTATTCTACTAAAGGTAACAAATGAGATAACGTTATGGATTATTTATATCTTAAAATTCTTATATTATTCACTTTTATTTAATATTTGTATTTTTTTTTCTTTAGTTTAGCAGATGCATCCTCAGATCTGAACATTAAACTGATGAAGTGGCGGTTGGTACCTGATATAGACGTGGAGGTGATGAAGAACACTACATGTTTATTGTTTGGAGCTGGTACTCTCGGGTGCCATGTGGCTCGTGATCTCTTGGTAAGTCTGTGAATATATACTAGATGTTTAACGCGATATCGTCTGCTGTTTTGAGAGGAAACATAAAGATAGGTTATGTATATCTTGATGAATAATAATAAAATAAATAATATTTACGCCAAATTTCAATAAGATGGCTACGTACGCCTTCTTACGACATAACTTTTCTACGTGAACCGATTTTGATAATTCCTACTTTATTTGGAAACTTGTGCCTCTCGTTTCGTCTCATAAACGTAATCAAGAAGATTTTAAATAGTTTTAAAGACATCCTCAATAATGCTTTGACTACCGTGGTCTAGGGGTGTAGCACACTGCTTTACTTTCGACGGTCCCGAGTTCGATACATCGGACGATACAATCATTTGCAGTCAAGAGTATGAGTGTTTGTATTGGTCTGGGTGTTATCTAGTATTTACAAAAAAATATATCTAAGTGTATATATCCATTATCTAGTACCCATAAGACAAGCTCCACTTGCTTGGGACCAAACGGTGCAGCGTGAATAGTCCTAGGTTAATATAATTAATGCTATTGAATAACGGTTTCATTGCCTCAACATGGTATTATACAGTAGCTGTAGATGTAAAGTCATAAACATAGTGTATTATTACTAATATATATTAATAATTCATAATTTTCCCAGGCTTGGGGATTTCGTCATATAACATTCATTGATAACGGAAAAGTGTCATTTTCAAATCCAACGCGTCAAGTACTTTTTAACTATCAGGACTGTTTACATGGAGGACGTATGAAAGCCGAGGCGGCTGCTGATAGTCTGAAACATATACTACCTACTGTGGTAAATATTACACACTTACAGTGTCACTTTAATATCTTACTAATATTGTAAACCCGAAAGTTTGTACGTAACTCTTTCACACAAAAATTACTGAACGAATTATGATGAAAGTTCACCGTAATGTAGCTTATACATCAAAATAATATAAAGTCTATAGTTTAAAAGATATCATATAAATTAACGAAATAAATGTCAAGTAATTGTGATGCAGACGAAGTTGCGCGCGTCAGCAAGTCATCTAGATATAGCAGTGTTTCTTAACTTGTGATCAGCGGACACGCGAACATGTGTAAGGATATTGAATAAATATATGCCAGCCAATTTCCTAATCACCAGGCTTACTTACCATGGCCTATACCTCTTCGAAAAGGCTTTCTCTACTCTCCTATACATCAAAAGCATATTCAGAAAGGTATTACAATTGGAATCCGATTTGAGATTACAAAAGAGTACAGTAACTTTAATGTTATTAAATAAATTGCTAAAAAGCAGCATAGTTATTAAAACATACATTTATAATATTATGTAGTTTTTTTTAGTAAGGGGCCGTTGAAATTGTGCTTAATATTTGATGGATCACTGGACTGCAAAAAATTAAGAAAAGTTAATGCTAAGTGATATCTATTTCCCTTACATAACTTGAAAACGACTTAACCGATACATATAGAATTTTTTACTTTTTTATCTTATAAAATGTGATTATTTAAATACAGGTATAATATTTAATTAAGCAAAATTATGCACATTAGACCACAAGCAGCCTACGAGTCGTTGTAATTCTATGAGAAAATTAATAACTTGAAGTGTTGCAGACCACCAAGGGTGTAGCACTTCATGTACCGATGCCTGGTCATCCAATCGGAGAATCTCTTAAGGCTGAAACTATATCGGACATCAACATTATTGGTGAAGAAATTGTAGATCACGATGTGATATTTTTGTTATTGGATACGAGGGAAGCGCGATGGTTGCCTACACTCTTGGCAACATATTATGGAAAGGTCAGTAATTATAAGTTATTATTCTCTTATGAAATAATATAAAAAAAACATATACATACATAATGTTGCCTAGATATGTTTGCTAGACAGCGTTGTGTAGAGTTGTGATTTTTTTTTATTTTACTGAAATGGCAAACAAGCTGACGGCCCACTTGATGGTAAACACTGAACGTCACCTAAATATATGAACAGTACTACGGATAATCACGTTATCATGTGACAGTCTTGAAACTTATGCGTTATTCCGATGTTATGAACATTATTATCAAGCGGAAGGAAATGTGACAAGAGTTTATGATCGTGATTTGATTGATATTTAAGTGTATTTCGTCACTTACACTTCAAACCCACTTAGCATTAATAGTAATTCTAATTTGGCTACTTATACACTGATATAAAATCAACTAAATTAGTTGAGTAGCGAAACAATAGTAATATAACAATATGAGCAACACGCAGGTTTCTTGCTCATACTTCTTGTGATGAGTCTCTGTTCCAAAAGTGCTTATATTAAGTTTATTTAAAAAGAATATTATTTCTATTTTATTAGAATAGTTGGACTACCATCACCATTTTAATTTTATTAGGTTTACTTCCTAAATTTCTCGGACGTTAACAATTGTCATCCGGTGGGTATGAGAACTTTAAAATTATAATAACGATTTTGTAAGAGTTGAATGAATGTCTGTTTCTACACAAATCTTTTGTTTGTTAATTAAACGAATGCAATATTAATATTCAAACTTATTTCCGCAGACAGTAATCAATGCAGCGTTGGGTTTCGACAGTTACTTGGTAATGAGGCATGGTGTAGGCGGTGTGGCGCCATCAGAGGGCACTTCATCCATGAACACCACTCATATTGCAGGAGGACAACTAGGATGCTATTTTTGTAACGACGTCACCGCGCCAGGGAATGTAAGTAACTAACAAGTAATAATATATAGTTTTTTTGCCCAAGAAGAAAACACTGTACTTCAGTCATAGCTTGATTAACTCGGTATCATGACATGTTTCTGTGTTTCTACTAATAAACCACTAGCTGTTACACGGACTTTCTTTAGGAGTAAAAATAGATGATCTCAGGACAATTTACACAGCGCCATATAGACCCAAGTTAAGCTAGCTAAAGCTTGTGTTATGGGTACTAGATACATGTTACATAGTTTCTTTTTTTCATAAATACATACTTATTATACATAGAAAATACCCAGACATATACAAACAATCATACTCATGAATACAAATGTTTGTGCTGTGCCAAGAATCGAACCCACGACCATCGGAAGTAAGGCGATGTGCTATAAACTGTTAGACCACTGAGGCCGTCAAAAATACCCATCCATCCACTTGAAAATATTTTGTTGCGAAGATGGATAGGCTTAATTTTGATACATTGCTTGTCACAATACAAATCGATTCGTCCATCATTTTCGTTTGTTCCCTTGCATTGTATCCATCTATTTTCATACTTATTTTTAACTTGATATGAATCCCTCTTTCAACAAATTAACTTAAATATGTTTTACATTTTCAGTCCCTTAAAGATCGTACACTTGACCAACAATGCACCGTAACTCGGCCGGGCGTGGCGGCCATAGCAGGGGCGCTTGCTGTAGAAATGTTAGTTGGATTGCTTCAGCACCCTCAGAAGTAAGTCGTAAATATTAATTAGTTTTTATACATCTGTCCTTTATAAACCTCTTTATACTTGACAATTGTAAGCATTTCTGGTTGAATTTTCATATATCTTGTTATTGTAGAAAAATTGCTGAATTTATTCATTAATCTAATTTAGACAGAAAGTTGGCGATTTTCTGTGTGACCAAAACAAAAAAGTATGTGACTTTCTGGAGATGGAAACACTGGTAAAAAAAACACCCAATTAATGGATTTAAACATGCAGAGCGAAATATAAGCATGCACTAAGAATCCTCCCCATTCTATAAAAGAATGGGGAAGATTCTTAGTGCACGAAAGGGGACTAATGGTTTTATTGTTCTATTACACATCTATATTCACCCCCATACGGTTCTCCTCGAAAAACATTATTATCACTAATTTCTAGTGCATTCACAATAATGGGCTTGCTGAAGTCAAATCGTCCTCATCATATCATACTTCATTGGTGCCCCGTTAAAACATAAGGGTGCACTATTCCATAATCCATAAATTAGACAAATCTATGTAAACAGTTGACAATGCCTTTTGGCCACCATCTGGGATAGCAGTCATAAAGATATTTGTTTTTTTACAGAGTAGAAGCACCAGCGGTATACAACTTGAATCAAGAAAACGATACGAATACATCATCGCAAGGTGTTCTCGGCCCGGTACCGCATTCTATCAGAGGTTTCCTCCATTCACATCAAACAGTATTGCCAACATGCGCAAAGTTTAAACAATGCATAGCCTGCTCCGATGTAGTTGTGAGCAAGTATAAACAAGGTGGAATTGAATTCTTATTCAACGTATTCAATAGTGGGCGCTATTTGGAAGAAGTGACCGGATTAACGGAGTTACATATGACTGCGGAAATGACTGAAGTAAGTTTCACTTTGAAGTAAGTTTCACTAAATATAAAACAATAAGCTTTTATTAATATATTATTCACATAAAAAAATGTACCAGTTCATCTCAACTAATTAGTTACAAACTGGAACGGTAGGAATGGCTATAGATAGTAGCATTAAGCCCGCCTATTGTACAATCCAATAAAATTTAAATAAAAAAAAAATAGTAACATGCACGAGCGACTGAAAGTGTCCTGTACAAATAAATAAGTTTTGAGTTTAACGTAAAATATCATTTTAGAATTATTAATATTCATTCATACTAATATTGTAAGTGAAAAAGTATCTGTCTATTTGTTACCTTTTCACGACTAAACCAAATGGATTTTAATGTAATTCGATTTTCACATCAAATTATGTATTATATCATGAGGACCGACATAAGAATCTTTTAAGTAAACCAGATGGAATCACGAGTAATAATTACTAATCAAATTTTAATTTTTCAGATATTAACTTTATCTGATAATGAAGATGATGAATAAAATGGAACATAACCAAATACTACACATATATTATCTGACTTCCATTGCAATATTGCAGCTTTTTATATTATTGTAGCTTTTAAAATTGTGGTCATATACATGAAAAAATGGCTTTATATGTTGTGATATTACTTATTTATAAACATATTGCATTTATATGTTATTTATGAATTAATATAATCATATCTAAATAAAGACTTCATAGGTGTATTATGGCTAATTCATTAATAGCGAACCTATTATCTTTAAGATTTCTGAATAGTTTTAAATAGACTATTATTGTATCTTCAGCTTTACCTGATAATTACACCTATAAAATGACCGTATCTGTATTCTATAATCTACGTAGCCGTTACCCTCTTCTGGATTGTCGTTAAGTTGAATGATTGAGAACTTACGCTTTCGACTTCATTGCTTTCAATTTGTCTAATGTACAGGGTGATTTTTTACGCAACTGTGAGTGGTAAACAATATGACGGTACATGTTCATAAGGGGGATTATTTTTGGGGCCTATTTTTATGTAACATCATTGTTAATTAATTTTATTTGAAAAACATGGAAATCCTGTGGCCTAGTGGTTTCCTACCTGATTAGGACAAAAATGTAAGGGTTTGAATTTGTCCAACAAAAAAACTGTTTTTATATTTCTGACTCCCCAGTGATGAAAACACCAAATTCGATTGGAACACCAGGTTCGAATGGCTCATCACATTGCTCATATCAAATTTGCTATTCAGTAAAAACAATATATGCATCATAAATAGGGCCTTCCCTGGACACTGCAAATTAAATGAACACATGGCAAACTTAGGCCTGTGTACAAAAAAATATACAAATTTGCCATTGTTATTGCGGAATTGTTTTGGTCATTCATCAACTTCTTCGGCTTCCATAACCACCACATGGAACAGTCTCGAAATCACCTACATGCTATTTCTTTATCCACACACATGCATACAGGGTTTTATATTACAAAAGTAAAAACCATTAACACTAATATATAGAATCTATATTAATTAATAATTAGAGTATGATTAACAACAAACCCTTTTATAAAAAATGGTTTTGTAGTTCACAATCAGGGTGTCATTGTCATTTGTACTGGAGGATGCGGGTGTTTATTGTTGACGGTGATCACTTTCACTGGTTTCGGGGGTTTAATCTTCCTGCCGTGCCTGCCGTCTTTGCGTTTCCATAGCCCAGACCGTGGCCGGTTGCCAAGCCACCGGTTCCTCTGTGGTGATCCTATGGGCGTGTTACCGTGATCCACATTTGATAGCCGACCTACAATTTAAAATTGAATAATAACTAAGGACAATTTCCACAGCATCATCCATTGACAAATTAAAACAAAGTATAATAAATACTGATAAAAAACACGTAATTATATTTCTTTTGACATATATAGGTACAGAATATACATAGTACATGGTACAAAACAACCAAATGAATATAAATATTTATGCTCGGGTATACATTCCAGAGGAGCAAGATGTCGTGCCTCTATCCTGTAAATTTACTACCTTATACTATCCTATATACTAGGCGATTACTATAAAGAACATTAAGGCATCATACTCGCAAGGTAAAAAATTATTAGGTATGTACCTAAGTTTTTTTAAGGAATAAAAATTTTGCAGTATCACTTACCAACAACTGCCATACAATATTGGCTAAAACTGAACTGTCTCTTAGAGGGCATCTGGACAATGACTCGGTCATCTTGTTTACGCAATATTGTTCCAGACGTCCCTGCAGCATGGATGTATAACCCTCCTCGTCCTAAAATAATATTATATAGGAAATCTATGTTACTGGAGTGACAATCAAGTGATGGCCTTTCTGGAAAGTGGTAACTGTCGCCTACAAATGTACAAATGAACAGGACAATGTTATTTCCCCATAACTTACCCTCATGCTTTACCATTCCAGGGGTCTAGTACTTCCATATCCTGTGATTTCTCTGGCATACCTAACTCTTCAGCCGAAACATAAACAAAGTAAATCTGCTTGGCTGTTGAAATAAATGAGACAGAGGTTCTCATGGATACAACCTCATACTAAGTCTCAGTAAAATCTATAATATTCATTATTCAAATTTATTTTATTCAATGCAATGAATATGTAAAACAATAAGTTATCAAGATTATAACAATACAAATTACCTGGTTCTTTCTCAATACAGTGGACCACTGTACCCGTAGGCAATGCACCCAATATATAAGCATCACCTTCATTGGCTCGTACTGGAAAAATTGAAGAAAAGCTTTGTTCGTATTAACTACAATAACAAACATCCTATGAATATTGTTATCTGTGTAAGCAAATTTCATTCAATTTTTACTTTATTGAATGTTAAGTTAATGAAGTAAAAGTATCTAAATAATAATGCTGAATATTTTTATAATACATTAGTATTATATACACATATTAAAATTTGTGCATTACCCAAAATACCCCTTTCACCCCATTCTTCATGTACACAACCTTTCACTGTTTGCTACATTTATTTCATGTTAAGTCATAGTGAAGAGAAAAAATTACCAGGTATTCTAGGCAACTCTCTAGAGGTTTTTAAAATTTGCCCCACTTTCATATTCTCTGTTGCTAATATATATTTGAGTTTTTCTCCAACAGCCACTAAGGCTATATGTGCTGTTCTACAACCATCCTCCATCACCTAAAAAATATTAAAAAGTATATGTTAAATAACTTATAATCTACACATATATGTTAAATATCTTCAATTTGGTTATTTGTATAAATTTCTCAATATGTAGTAATTGATGTTGATAAAATTATTAATTTAATTTGGTTTAGATTTTACAGTTTTTATTATCCATTTTATTACTTATTTGTTGTTTTTATATAGTGTAATAATAATATAAAAGTCTCCTATTCAATTAAATTATTATCCTTTAACTATTTATACTCATTAGAATTCATTGTAACCTATGTGTAATTATAATGCCTACCTGTATAACCTTTTCTTCTTGTGGTGGACCTTCAGTTGGGCCATCTCTTAGCCAGTCTATCCAATGATACTTGTGTTTGATACCACCGCCTATACCTTTTGCAACCACCCGACCTACACAGAGGCACAAATTCTGATATATATATGTTTTTATAAAAAAATGTAATAATTTATATATATTTTAGTTATAACTATGAACAAACCGGTAACGGGATCTCTGCCAGCAAGATTAGTTACTTCTAAAGGTTTCACTGTATACTCATCGGTAAAATGAACAATACGCCTGTAACTTTTTCCAAATCCAGGTTTGGGTTTTTCAACATTCGGTTTACTAGCAAAATTAAATGAACTCGCATGGATTGCTCGCCTACTGATTATGGTAGGCGTTATAACGAGGTTAGCAAATAATCTATTTAATGCCATATTTTATGGCCCTCAAATTTTATTTTATCTTTCTTTCTTAATATATTTTTCTCTGCTCTATTCATGTAGAATAAATAAGTAATAATATAACCTAAAAACAAATCGCAAATCACAAATGTCATTGTCAAACATAACAGTCAATGTCAAAATATTTTTTTTTTCCTTCTCCTCCTCCACCTTTGGCTTTGCCTTCGCATTTAGCCAATATCAAAGTTAGGGAAATATACACAGAAATATACGGAATAGAACGGAATTTTGTAGGATAAAGGATTGGTCAGGTTTATGATGTTTACAATGTATATATATTATATATATATGGATATATTTACAATTTTATATTATTATATAAAATAAATGTGGCTAATATTTTATATACATTGGTATCGCTATTATGTAACAAACAATTAATAGATGTAGGAAGTGGGACACGGATCAGAAGGAGTTGGGAAATAAATTCAGAGCGATCATATAGAGGGCAGGAGAAGAACACATGATTAACATCTCCGTACGCTCCACAAGCACATGTAGGGTCAGAAACAATATTAAATTTGTATAGATTTGCTGGTGTACATACATGTCCCAATCGAAGTCTGCAAATAATTGTTGTGGTTTTTTTATTAAATTTAAATTTACTAAACCAAGGTTTATAAGGACTAGTTTCTTGTACTAGTCTGTAATTCTTCCCCTTTTCAGTTTCAATTGTCCAAAGCCGATTCCAATCCTCATACAATTTGACAACAAAGCTAGGTCATTACAGTAATTGACATATGGGAATAAATCGCCATCGCGAACAGCATCATTAGCCAGTTGATCAGCGTTTTTATTACCAGATATACCAAGATGGCTTGGTATCCAAGCGAAGTGAACATTTAATTGTAATGATAATGCAGCTTTATATATTATAGATATTTGGGGATTAAGTATATAGCGAAGTGTAACTATGTTGGTACAGGGGAAGATATTGAGTCTGATATGTTGGAGATGTAATGTCTTTAAATTTTTGGAAACTTTTCACTAAACAATGGTCTTTATGAGTCCAATACTTCGAAGAGGCTATCACCTCAGCCAATTCCTTTACTCTAGAAATTAAGAGATTTTTTTTTAATGCTAAGCTACGGAAAAAAAATGAATCACTCAGGTACTGTCTTCGCAGTTTTAGCGGTGGTTCACAACACTCTATTTGTAACGAATTTATTAGGCTGGATTTCATTGATCCAGTGATAAGTCGTGGTGCCTTATATTGAATACAATCCAATTTTTTAAAAGCTGCTGCGTTTGCTGGATTTAATAAAACCGAGCCGTAGTCTGTAATGCTTCTAATTAAGTCATTATATAGGAGTTTCATAATAGAAGGATGGGCGCCCCACCATACACCACTAAGACACCTTAAAATATTTAGGTTGCGTTCACATCTCACTACAACGGATTCACAATGTGATACACCTGTGAGTTTTGAGTCCAATACCAATACAAGTCCCAAAAACTTTGCCTGATCCTTAACTGATAAGGGGGAATCATCATATAAAACATTAACTACTAATGGAATCCTTTTTCTAGAGTATACAACTACAGTGCTTTTAGATGGGGATAGATCTAGACCATTATTATCTAGCAATTTTTTAAGAAATTGTAATGCTGCAGAAAGGGAATCGCTAATCTCGTTAATTAATCGGCCGGCAACATAGAAAAGCAAATCGTCCGCATATTGCAGAACTTTTACACATCTATTAAAACTTTCCTCGACTTTTTATGGATACTTCTAAATCAATAGTATAAATGTTGTAAAGAATTGGACTCATTATGGAACCCTGAGGTAGCCCCTTCCATACCGTCCTATATATACAATCATTATTATCTAAAGTATATTTAATAAATCTTTCTGTTAACATATTTATAATAAAATTCATTAAATGTATGTAAGGTACATCTCTAATTTATGTTTCAGTATCAGGATATTAACATTATCATAAGCTGCGGTTATATCTAGAAAACCAGCTATAACAGAGTCATTTCTAGAAAACGCTAATCTAATATCTGTGACAAAAATCCCCAAACTGTCAAAAGTGCTCTTACCTTTCCTAAATCCTAGCTGACTATCTGAGAATAATCCATTGTGTTCCAAAAACCATTAGAGGCGATTTTTTATTAAATGTTCCGATATTTTCGCCAATACAGTAGATAGAGCTATGGGACGATATGATGAAGGTTCGGAACTTGGTTTATCTGGCTTTAGTAACAAGATTAAAGTTACTGGAAATATTACCTGATGTCATAGCTGTGTTGATTAAAGAGAGATAATAATTAAGAGCATCTTCGTCTAAATGTACTATAAAAGAGTATGGAATGCCGTTTTCACCCGGCGCCGAGTCTTTAATAACAGAAAGTACACCTTTTAATTCATTGACAGTGAAGGATGAATTAAGATCAAATGTAGAATCATTATTATTAACTATTTCTGTATTAATAGTTAAAGGATTTACATGGAGCTGTTCTGGAACGAAAGGTGGGGCTAATCTATCTAATATTTGTTCTGCAAGAGTGGGAGAAATCTTTTGTTGTTGAGATACATTAAAGGCCGATCTAAATCTACGTATATTTTGCCAGATAATAGAAGGATTGACATTAGGACATAATGAGGCACAAAATTTACTCCAACCTTCAATCTTTTTTGTTTTAATAAGTTTTTAGTATTATAAGCTACGATACAGTAGATTTGGGACGATATGATGAAGGTTCGGAACTTGGTTTATGGCTTTAGTAACAAGATTAAAGTTACTGGAAATATTACCTGATGTCAAGCTGTGATTAAGAGAGATAATTTGTACTATAAAAGTAAAAGTAAGTGTAAAAGTATATAATCTTTTTTGTTTTAATAAGTTTTTAGTATTATAAGCTACTTCTTGATATTTTTTAGAGTTATCTTCAGACATACAGATACAGTACTGTCTTTCAGCTATTTTTCTTTGTTTTACTGCAATAGTACACTCTTCGTCCCACCAAGGTGGAGAGGGTATTGTACTAGGACCACTATTTTTTGTTGGAAATGTTGAATCAGCTGCCTCAATTAATAATTTAGCTAATGACAGAGAACACTCTGACACATTGTCATGGGATATTTTGGGTAAAGTTGTTAATTTTTCATGTACTTTCTGTTTGTAGTTGTACCAGTTGGCATTACTTAATTTATACCTCATACGGGGCTGTTTGATCTGCTGCAAGGGTTTTGAAAAAGGAAAAGTAATTAATAATGGATAATGATCACTATTATAACTATAGTTAAGCGGACACCAAACAAGAGATGAAGCGAGATCTGGTGTACATATCGATAAGTCTGGTGAGCTGAGACCTTCAGTGGGTCTTGTGATGCGTGTTGGCATACCAGTATTTAAAATACATAAGTTATGGGAGTCAATTAACTCCAATAATTGGTCACCATAACTATTGGATGAAGAGGAACCCCAAGTCTGATGGTGAGAGTTAAAATCTCCTAAGCATATAAATGGTTTTGGTAGGATGTTGAATAAATTATTGACTTCATTGAAAATGGCATTACTTGGGCGGGAGAAATATATAGACACATAACAAATACTATTCACTATAATAGCAATAACAGAGATATCATCACTGTGTGAAGGCAAAGGAAGAATATTATAGGATAAAGAATTCCTGATGAGTATGGCGACTCCTCCATACCCATCAGGTCTGTCATTCCTTAAACAGGAATAACCAGGGATCTTAAAAATAGATCCCGGTTTTAAAAGTTTCTTGTAAACAAATTATGAAGGGATCATATTTATTAATGATGTGTATAACATCATGTTTTTTATTGATGAGGCTCCGGCAGTTCCACTGTATGGCCTGAACTTGATCCATTATCTGTGATCTTATATATAGTATCAATAAGTAAAGCTACGTTGGACGGTGATATATTTGAATTCGATTGTTGTAAAAGGTCTAATAATGTTTTTATAATTGCTGAAATCTGAATATTTTTATCATGATGATTATTATTAAAAATGGGTTGAGATGGAGGGAGTGTGGGACTTTTTATGATCTCATTGTGTGCATATTGATCATATCCTCTTGAGAATTTTGGTAGGGCTTTTGGTTTCAGAAACACTGTCTTTTTATATGACCTATTTTGGTTATTTACAGGAACTGTATTTAATGTAGTATAGTTTGGAGATTTGTCATTATTTATATTAGATGGGGAGGAAGGAGCTGTAAGTAAAGCATCTGCATAAGACATTTTATTAACTGGTGGATGTAATTTGACGGCTTCCATATATGAAATACAACTCTTACTCATAGTCTCTTTAATTGCTTTTTGCCGGTCAAATTCTAAACATTTTTTACTATTTGCTTGGTGAGAACCCTTGCACAAGCAGCACCAATAGTCATTTTCATCAATATTGCAATTCTCCCCTGAATGTCCCTGTCCACATTTAAAACACCTTGGAGTGGCCCTACATTGGCTTTTAACATGGCCATACCTACAACAGTTGTAACATTGTACTGTGGGATATATATAAAGGGTTCCAGGTAATGCAGTATAACACATATAAACTCGGGTTGGCAGTACTTGTCCATCAAAAGTAAGAACAACAGTGCCTATATTTTCAAATGTATTTGTATTATCTATATTAACTTCTTTTTTAAGCCTTCTTCTCCTTTTAAGCCTTCTCAATTTAAGTATTGTACCGCAACCTATTGGGACACTTATATTTTGTAAAATGTCTTCATCAGACCAATCAGTGGGGACACCCCTTATTACACCCATATGTGTAATGTTAAAAGTAGGAATAAAAGCTTTATATTTTTCAGTTGTTAAACTTTGATTGCATAAGAATGAATTTGCTGCTGTGAAATTTGAGAAAGACAAACTAATTCTATTACGACCAATTCGTTTAAGACTACCATTCACAATACCATTAATTTCTTTACGTTTCAGAAAGCGACCAAATGTGACGGGATGCAATGTTGTGTTGCTGTTATCATCTGAGAATTCCCTCTGGACATGAATATATATATGGTGCATCTGATGGCTGATTTCAGTGTTTTGTGTAATATTGTTTTGTGTAATATTATTTTGAGATTTGGAATTGATTAATCTTTATTATTATATTGATCTATTATTGTTGTATCATTTGTTATGCATGCACAAACATTTGGTTCCATCCTTTTTGAACCGTGTCTCCTTTTCTTACCCAGATGTACTACAAGTTGCACGAGCAACTCTTTTCCTTTTATAATTTTCCAGAATCAGATACTGAACAGTCAGTATCCATAGACGACTCTAAAGCCGTAATTAAGATGTCCATTGGAGTGTTTGGAATCTCATTTTCAAATCCTGGAGGAACTATAGTCGTAGTTCCCCCAGGATCGTCGGGCGGTTCGCCCATATAGAAATAAAATCTAACTTACCAATATGATATGTACACACCAAATTACACACTAAAAATAAATATAATAATAACACTAAATACAACTAAAATTACTAAAAACCAATCCTTAATCTATATGTTATTGAAATAATATTTCCTGAATTAAAAAACGCGTCCGGTCAAACCAAAATTTCCCGCCCTTTTTTCTGTCAAAATATAAAAACAGATAATTTTGTCGTATGTATTTGAATAATAATTTGTTGATATGGTATTTGAGCATACTGCCTAGCCCTTATCTATATTTAATTAAGAGGCCTTTCACATTTTTTGGCCTAAAAGCAGGGTCTTTGGGGTTCTGGTTCTAAGAAATTAAGAGTCGGATATACATTTTGATTCCTGAATTATATAGATAGATATCTAATCTTAAAAACAACATCTTTGAAATATTAATTTTCTCTTTGTTAGTCTTCCTAATTTCTAAAATAGTTTATTCAAAAACGCTAAGAGACAGAAGTTTGGGGTCGTCGTTCATTAATAAACAAACATAAATTGATATGATATCTTTACTTACTAAAACTTGATAATTACTTTATAAATTGAGACAGCATCGTCCTTTTTTTCATTTTCAACTTAAATATCTAAAAAATTGATCATAATTAAACCCGAAATTTCAACAAAACTTTGCCATAATCATTTCTAATTTTCTCATAAATACAACGAAATTTTTGCATAAAAAAAACATAATAATAAAGTTAATATACTTGTAAATTAGAAATATAAAAAAAAATATATAAGTTTCTAAGAAAAAAATAAACAATAATAATAATTTAAAGTTGTCTAAATTCCGTTGCGCCAAAATAGGATCTATGCAATTTTTTACGACACCGCTAAGATAAGACATTCGTAAACAATTGTCAGTGAACATTAGTATAGTGCGACTAAACAATTTTGATACTTTAAGTAATATTTAATTAATTTTGCTAATATATACTTATTTCTACGAATATTAATTTAAAGTTGTTGTAATATATATATATATATATATATATATATATATATATATTTTAGCATGCCAAGACAAAAGTACAGTTATGCTACAAATAAAACCTACCTACCCTGCTGCACTATGAAAAGCACAAGGCCATGGTATTTCGTCACACTAATGGCAATTAATTGTTAAAATTAAAAAAGAGAACATTTTAGTATTTTTAAAAATAACGCTTATCTGAGAGAAAAATGTAAGAAAATGTAAACCAATTTTACTTTATGTTTATTTTGTAGTTTTTTTCTAAATTAAAATAGGGTTATTGTTTATAAAAATACCATTATTATTTTTACGTACATTTGTCTTGTGTTATATCATCTAGTATGCAATGTGCATTGTAAATAAATTACCAAATTATATATAAATTATATTCCTTAATGTTTAGAGATATTTTATCCAATTTACTTTATTTTATTTTACACAATATAGATATTTCTAAATTGCAGCCATTCTGTTATTATACTCGTTGGACTTTCATTACTGTACAGTTATGTCAAATAATTATGCGTGTTTGGGTGAAAAGTCAACAACATTATAAATGTTTTTATTTAGAGACTTTACTTACCTACTTACGACTTACTTTTAGCTCGCGGCTTCGCCCGCGTGAATATGGGATATATAGGTTATCGCGCGTTTAAAGATCCGTGTACAGTATTGGGACGTTATATATAAACCTTTCTCTTGAGTCTATCTATTCTGTCTGTCAGTAGTTTTAAACTTTCAATTAAAGTCCCTAAGGGAGACGATGTTAATGACACAGAGAGTCTTTCAGAAATCTCCAGCAAAAGTATAAAAGTAATCCCGCCAATGAGAGCAGAGGTGTTTCTAAGGTCTTTTAAGGTTCTGTCCAAAATCTCTATAGCTCATGGTGATTTCATTACATACAATCAATGAGGCGTCTTGTAATAATTTATAAAAATGTTTGATATTAACAAGTAATTATTTATCAAGAATCAAGAATCGGCCAACCAAGAACGAGAAGCTGCAATATCAGCCAATATCATGCGGCGACGTCAATGATGCAGGAACAGCAATGATAGCAGTTGAAGCTTTTTTTTACAACTTAGAATGGCAAACAAGCTGACGGCTCTCCTGATGGAAAGGGGTAACCGTCGCCTATATACATGAGCAGTACCTGACATGTTCATATCAGCATATTGTTTCCCTCATGCGTTGCCATTCCTGAAAACTCGGGTGTTATTCCCCTGTACCCTGTAAATTCACTACCATATATATACACAGGTAGTCTATATAGATAGATATACATATACACAGATAGTATACCCTGAGAAAGGTCATAGACTACTTTATAGTGCGAAAAAAGTATTGTAAGGGATTAAAAGCGGAGATGAAAGGTTGTATAAAAATATTTTTATAAATATATTAAATATTTTATAAATATAATATTAAATATTTTTATAAATATTTTTAGGTTATAATCTAAATATATTTCCTTTATTTGGTCAATTTCATTATACCACGCTGACGAAGTCGCGGACACACCTAATATACATATAAGGATGGGACCTTTAAATCAAAACAAAGCCTTGAAAACACAACTATTATATATAAATAAAATAATTATTTGCTAAGTATAATATTTAGAACAAGTGAATATGGCAATAATGTATCCGACTCTTATAATAAATTATATTGTATCTATTAATAAATAAACTGAATTAATATGTAAGAAGAATTACTTAGTAAATTTATGTTATAGTAATTACATCTTCCTGTCCTTATCCCAATTATTTGTTACTCATATTACTTAAGGTTTTGGCTTTTAGTTGTACAATCGGCCAGCATCCTGACATCAACCCTCTAGGAATAATATAATAAAAAATGTGGTCATTATTAGCACTTTGATAATTAAGATAAATCACGTTATTTAAAAAAATCCAATAAGTAGTTTATGTTACTCAGTTAAGTAGAAACATATCACATTATTAATTAAAATATTACAAGGATCAAAATGGTTCATACTAAATCCACACCGATTGCGCTACACGTTTATTTGCGTCTGTGTGCGTGTATTACTGTGTGTGTGCATAAATTCATGCGATTAAACCTAAAGTTGAGCGGCATCATTTTGTAATAGGCCTCTTAAGTACTATATATTATGCAATTACAAAATAAATTAATGTAACTTTCTGTGCCCTGTAATTTATTAGCGGTAAAAATCAAAATTTACCAAATTCTGTAATTCTTAAATCAATTACTAAAATTTATATTACAAATGCTACTATAATTAAAATGTTTTTAAAATAACAGTAATTATAGTACAAATAAAAAATATTTATCATAATATAACTGTATAGATCAACACCTTTGCATGTGAAAACTTAGAAATTACAAACGTCCATGCGCCCTCTAGCGGAAATTTCTTTACTAAAATACGTCGTGAATGTGGCGTGTGTTGTTTGGAAAATTGAGAGTCGTAAATAAAATGAACTGTATGTGTTATTAATATTTGTAATAAGTGTCCTTTATGTGTGTATAAACATTAATTTGTCAAGAAACATTATATGATAGCTACTAAGGCTTGAGAAAACTTGTTTTTATTTTGGTATTTTGTCATATGTTGCACGCCTGCCTTGGGGTCTGGAAGAGGACAAAAAATTTATGAGTAATTCCGATGCTAAATTGATAATGCAGTAAGTTTTTTATTTTCTCTTTTGAAAATTTTCCACATATTATTAATAGTACAATTAAGACGGTTCACTACTGTTTATTGCATTTGTTGTAGCCAGGTTACTAAACTTAGTGCTCATACCTGCCTTCATTCATAACCGTCATTGCCATTTATATTTTTTCATTAAAAGTATATAAAAGGATAATGTTAGCGATATCCCTCGTCGCGACCATACAGCGTGTAATTATTGTTGTATATTTTTTTGTTACAGAAATAGATACAGCCAGTCTTCCGGCACGTCATTGCGCTTTCTCGTGACAATGCGGTGCCTTATGAATGAATCTATTTTCTAAACTCCCAATTTTTATTCCTCATAATGGTTGTTAGAGCTGACACTGAATAATAACATAATGAGTCACAATCTGGCTGGAATGCCATCATACAGGCTGCCAGGACCTGGGCTGGGGCCTCCAGACTTTAAGCCGCCGATGGATACACCAACACCACCAGCCCCTGCACCAAGTAACCCAAAAAAGCGAAGAAAAACATCAAATGCAAACAATGCACTCACACCACAGCCACCACCTACTGCACAGGATCTGCTACCTCCACCACTTACTGGTTATGGTGATACAATAGTTGCATCCAACCCTTTTGACGATTCTCCATCAACAGTTTCACACAATGGTCCTATGATGAGCCATAATGGCCCTATGATGAATCAAAATGGTCCTATGGGTATGGTTGGGCCTATGCACAGTATGGGAGGACCACCAATGAGACACATGAGTCCACTACCACATAATATGAGCCCTATGAATCAACAAATGCCACCTAGAGGAGGAATAAGCCCAATGGGGAATATGAGTCCCATGGGCCACATGGGTGGTATGTCTCCAATGGGAGGACCTAATATGGGTATGAGTAACCATACCATGGGACCTGGAATGGGTCCCACATCAAGATCTATGGGTAGTCCAATGAGCCCTATGAATTCTATGCCAATGGGATCACCAATGTCTTCTGGCCCTATGGGCAGTCCTATGAATATGGGTTCAATGGCTGGAAGCCATATGAATAATAGTCCGATGGGCCCACCAATGCATAGCCCGCTTGGAGCTGGATCAATGAATGGGCCTATGAATGGGCCAATGGGTGGTGGTGGTCCAGGTATGAATGTTCCTCGAATGAATGGACCAATGGGGCCAAGCTGTTCAAATGGATCTATGGGTCCTACTAGTTCCATTATGTCTTCAAACCCAATGCAAAGCGGTGGAATGGGTCCCGGTCATTGTGGGCCAATGAGGCATGGAAGTCCTATGGGATCAGCTATGGGCAGTGGACCTATGGGTGGTAATGGACCTATGACATCTATGGGCCCTGGACCTCCATATGCAAGTGGTCATATGGGGCATGGAGGACCCATGGGAATGGGTGGAAGTGGTTCAATGGGAATGGGTCCTGGCCCTGGAAATATGGGAAACTGTGGACCTCTGGCTGGTATGAGTGGTATGGCCATGGGGGGTCCAGGTGGACAAGGAGTGGGTCCAATGAGTCAGGGTATGGGAATGTATGGACCTAAACCAATGCCTGTGAGTGCTGGAAAAGTGTACCCACCAGACCAACCAATGGTTTTCAATCCTCAAAACCCAAATGCACCACCAATATATCCTTGCGGAGTATGCCACAAAGAAGTGCATGATAATGATCAAGCAATCTTATGTGAATCAGGATGCAACTTTTGGTTTCATAGGTAAGAACAGTGTAATTCGTTATTGTGATTTTCTAATATAAAAATAAGTCATAACATTACATTTCTATTAGCAATATTGCTTATAATAAATACAACCTGTATTCAATTGATTATGCTTATGTCAAACATATTCTAATCATATATTACTGATAGAAATGCTGAAGTATATATTTTTTATTTTTAATCGAATTATTAATCCTCATACAGTTTTCATATAAGATAGAGTCTAAGAAACTAGAGTTAATTGGTTAGGTAAATGTTTATGTTTGCGACTTAAAATGTTGAAAGAACTCAATACATTTTTATTAGCTGTGTATAAGTCAGACATTGATATTTATTTACCTATTTAATTTTTTATTAAATTTATTTACAATTAACTCTGAAAACACCTGCCAGAGGATATTTCTACAGTCAAGTTTATAGAATACCTTTAAACATAAAGAATGTACTATTTTTGAACTTAAGTACTCTAAGTGTTTTTTTGCTTAACCAAGTGTCTTAAACTTCTATTCAAAAACAGGTGTCACATAAGGTTTTTGTAATTTCCAGAGGATGCACGGGCTTAACGGAGCCTGCTTATCAGTTGCTGACAGCAGAAGTGTATGCAGAGTGGGTTTGTGACAAGTGCTTGCATTCTAAGAACATACCACTTGTGAAATTTAAACCATAGCGCTGTGGCGCTCCCCCCTCCCCCCTTCTCCTGCCCCCTCACTTAAGTCATATCCCTCCCTGAAACTCATCACAAGTATTTATTGAACTTCATTAAAATTGACACTTAGTGGAATCGTAATATGAATGTACTTGGGCATCAAATGGTTTGTCAGTATAGTTTTACTAAGAAAGATCTCATCTTGGATAGTTACATAAAATTAAGGAAAAATGTGTTGAATATGAAGTGCTTTGAGTTGGAAATTTTTATCAGTGGCTATTTATTGCACTATGCCTTTTTATATTTGGAACAAAACAGCAGATGTATGGAAATCATTATGAAATTGCAGACGGTCCTGTTATGTCTAGTCTGTTATGATTGTCATTTTTATTTATTTTAATAATAATATAGGAATATGATGGATGGTCGTAATGGAATTCGTATAAATGTTCATTGCACTTGTTCCTGCATTAGGCATATCTGTGAAAGCAATTCAATGTGATCCTTCAGTAGAAATATGTCGTCACCATACGGTATAGACAAAAAACTCAAGGTATAAGCAATATGAAGGCTGCCCAAGGAGTTTTACATGCCTACTGTGTGTCGCTTTAGTATCTGTGCATATTGTAAATATCTCTTAGTTTAAGTATAAAGAAAAATCACTTTCCGCCTTATATAATGGTGACCTATTTGTGTACAGTCAAGATTAATATTGATGGTTTAACATCAGACTTGGTTAGCTATTTTTGACACATGGCGGTCATTGCATAGTTTAGGCCAAGAAAGTATAATTAATATGTTTTGCAATGCAATCTTGTGTAGTCCGGCGCGAACGAGAACTTGGCAATAATTTTCGCCATATTCCTATGTACTTATTTTACGGTGCCCTATTTGCATGTAATAAATACGCGCATTATTTTTACATACATGTAAATACGATGAATCCATACGCTTTGTTAAGGATAAGAGTGTTAAATGTGTTTGTCAAGTTTTTAAATTTTGGAGATTTTTTAATCATAAAAATGTATTATAAGGTTTGTAAATAATTGCATAGTATTAAGTGAATTGAGATTACATATACAACATCGATATACTGGCTCCAGATATTACGCGGTTGTGATTTCATTCGTGTCGTGTAGCTTTCAGCTAACGTTTAACTTAATTTTTTTATTGTTCGCGAGCGTTAGTCCTGGGGTCTATCATATAATCTTTATAGAGTCAAAGTTAATTTATGAATAAAAATATTTACAGCATTTTATTCGTAGTCTGTCAAGTATGTGACCATTTCAAACAATATCATTGGTATATCTATAATATATAAAGCTGCGGGTATATGAAGTCGGTCCCAGTATAAATAAGATACTCAATTGGTTGGAAGTAAATGATAACAAATCAGTTATATAGTCGTATTTTTGTTTAGCGTATTCACAATATAAAACATATGTTCACAATATATTAAAAATTAGCAACTTCTTTTTTAATTTATAGACAATAATAATATAGGGGCTTATACTATCAAATATATAGGATCACATTTAGATAAATTTATCAATTTATGTAGCTATTGACGCACTTTTAATAACTTTAAAAAAATACTGTATATTTTTTATCGTAGTAATAATCTAGAAAGATTACTTTTCGTTTGTACTCTGTATTTATGACTATAAAATATAGATATTTTGATCTTTTTTATTCCACAAAGATAGTACATACATAGGAATTTTATAATATTAAATACATATTATAATTTCACATCAAATCACTTATATTTTGCTTTCCTACAATCTTAACATGTATTTTTATTGAAATTAATAAGAGACAAAAAAAATTATATAAATTGTAGCATAATAATTTTACACGCTAATCTTTACACTATAGCCTATCTTTTGGTTCATTTTGAAAACCGTTATTTCAATAATAACACAGGTTAAGATTATTTTGTAGTTAAGGAAAAAAAAATATATTTTTTATATATAGTGACTTAATATCAGTAAATATTATATTTAGAAATATTATATTATAAAATTTTAAAATTTTTGTATCTGATGTATGTATGATCCTATATATGTTTCTGATAAAACCCCACAGCCATACTTTCACTTGCGTTCATTGTTGACCACGATTCAAACACGATAGCTTCGCCACATTGCATATGGCGACAGGGCGGTATAAGTTACCACAGTCTCATCTTATATAATAAAGTTAAATAGATACAAAATTTCACAAATGCACCCCGCTGACAATGTGGACCACATAACCTTGGTAACCTTTAGTATAATTTACCATACACATGTACTTACTATACATAAGTTTAAATTTTTGAAATCAATGGGTCGTTATCACTGTGGCACAGTATAGAACCAATATTGTTCCTTTTAAAGTGACTTGTAATATTAGGTATCTTTTAATTAATATTATTTATTTATATTAAACATTTTAAATTAAATATTTCGTCTAAAATGATTGAATGTTTCAAATCAACATTGGTTCAACGGCGTTGCAAAAATGTACGTATGTAATAATGTATGTATAGTACTTTACATCAAAAGTACAAGTATTCAAATAACAACACATTATGTAGGTTGTATGAGAAACGGTATATCATTATCCAAACCCTGTCGATATAGGGCACTATATATACATACCCATAAAACTTTAATTATTAAATTTATGGATATATTTTACAACTGAATGTATAACAAATTATGCGCCTATCATGCTTAATTTAGCACGTTTGTCGATAAGCTGTTATATAAAAGTCACTAATAATATGATCAAAAATATGGCTGATATTTATTAAATACGATGTAGGCACGCTAATTATTGCATATCCCTATCTCAAAGACATGTATAAACTGTTGTAAATAACGGTTAATAATGTTATATTCATTGTATATCTGTATTCATCAGTTTCACTGCCATTCATTAGATGTGAAGAGAACTGTCTAATTAACTAGGTATAAAATGCCTCTGAGATAGGTATTCTGCAGATCTTAATACTTTGTTTTGTATAATTAATTTTCTAAGTTAAATATTTTCTAATATATAACACCTTACCAGATGAATCACTTTTTAACTTAAATTCAATTGATTTCTATAAAATATACAAATACTAAATTCAACAATCCACAGTTAAGTACTTAAAAGATTTTTTAAATACAATGACAAAAACTAAATTCTCAAACAATCCATTTTAATTAAATCGTAATTTTATAATTTATTTACAAATCACAATAAAAATATTTGATTTAAAATTTAATATAATCGACGAATGGAATGAAATGCCTATTAGACTTTGTTTTTGTAAATATAATGTAATAACTATTCGTGATTATTTGCCGGTTGTACAGTTACTTATAGACTTAGTATTTTATCTAGGATATTCGGCCATGAATGTAATATTAATTTTATGCCGTAAAAACATCACAACGGGTTCATGGGAGACTGCTGCTATTGTATATTAATTTTCATCTGTAAATGTTACTTATGTGTTACATCGTATCTGCGACACAACTGTTGTGAATGATAGCAAGTTGTATTTAAGAATATTTTATGAAGTCTAATAGAACGACATCAGTGGTCTTATACTTGTGCATAGTTTATTTTGTATTATGTGAATAATAACAAGCAATAATAAAATTGTTATTGAGAAAATTGATTTTATTTTTACAACAAATATTATACGTTATTTCAATAGACTTATTCCCAAATTGTAATGCCAATGAACTACGTAAAAAAGTGTGTGCCAACAGTATAGGTTGACAGGGTATGAGTGAGGATGACAGGATAAGCAGGGAGTCAGGTCAGATAGCGCATTGTGATCAATGTATCAGGAATGAAACAGTGACATGCTACATTGCTAGTAATGGTGCCACTAGTTCCTTTGCCAGAAATCTCAAATCTACCTCAAAGTATCAGGTCAGTACATAAATTCGTGTGCATTTTTTGGTAAATTTATAGTAATATAAACTTGGATACTTTCCCACTCTTCCTTTCTCTTTTGTGTCAATTTATATTTCTGACTGACTCTCCGGTAATGGAAACACCGGCAAACCAACTTAATCCGAATAATGGCGGTAAACTCGCCTCCTGGTACAAGATTCAAATATTTCGAGCGAAATGTTCCACGCCTATGTTGCTAATGCCTCTGTCTACTCCATCTGAATATATATTATTATTATACTAGCTCTGCCCGCGTTTTCACCTGCGTGAACTGTGCCTGTATGTGATATTCCGATATATTACTGTACAGTTTCATCATTACGTGCAGGCGTAACAAATCACCATCTATCCATCCATATTCACAAACTTTCGCGTTTATAATCTTAGTAAGCAGTAAGAATTATATAAAATATTAATGTATATTTCTTTATTTATATTCAATCAATAGCCTAAAAAAATAAATATCAAGTTTCTAGCTTTAGAAATGACAATACTTCTATACAAACTTTTATCAACCCTTTCAACTCCTTAGAACCCATAGAAAGTAGCCTATGTCCTTACTCAGGGTCTAGACTGTACCAAATGCGTAAAAGCAAGACAAACAGAGTTACTTTCGCGTTTATAATATTAGTAAGGATTACTTAAATAACTATAAAAAGTTTAAAACAAAATTCCTTGAGTATCTTTTTATTGACTGTAATGTCAGTATGGCATACAAGTTGACACTAATTCTATGTTATACATGTATATAAATGTCCTTACTCTAAGTTCAATTTAGTTTAATACAATAAACAAAATGTAACACAGGATAATACTTAAAATAAATTTCTGGACTCATTAATTTATATACAAAACCTTAAAATAATATTTCCAGTTCCTTTGTTACAATTAGGTAGCTATATTACATTAGAAGCTATAATTTTTTACACAATAGATATTTCTAGCCTAGAGCCTAAATTTATAAAATATAGTTACAATAACTAAAATTTTTGTATGTACTGATGATTGCTAGTTTTTACTGTCTACAATATTCATTAGAAATTACAATGTCTGGAGGTTTAACACCTTGGTCCTCCAGAAAGGGTACCTACTAAAGATGCCACATGATGATGTGATGTCCGTCGCTTATATACACATATGTAAATTGAATATAGCCAATGGTTGCCATCAGCGTTAGTTTGTTTGCCATTCTATCGCATATACGAAATAAAACATTTTAATCTCATCCAGTTCCACATTAAGCCGAACTTAATTGTAATAAAAAATAAAAACATAATAGAATACTGTGTGATCTTACATAAAAAGGATATTGTTTTGTATCAGTTTTATAAAATAATTACCTATTTAACATTACTTTGTGCTTACATATCTTATTTTTACAAAATATATTAATGCAACAGAATAAGTATTCAAGCAATCACCTTGCCCTATTCTAAACAGTAAAAAGAAAAAAACTAAAATTAACTACTTAACTAAATTTACTTCATTACATTATCCATTAACTTCTATAATGAGTGAATGGTATCCCAATAACAATCCATATAAAATTCTCAATTTGGAATTAAATTAGTGTTGGTTTCCTTAAGTCTTCAAATTATACAGTGTGTAATTTGATGCAATTTTTAGTTTCAGGAGAAAGTTATAGAGACAAATAATGGAAGGTGTACACATATAAAAATGTATTATTCAGTCAAATATTAATAATTGCAGAAATAAATTATTTGTTGTTCTTATTAATTCTTTTGTGATGTAATTTCACTTAATAAAATAAAAAATAGATTATATGTATTGGTAGTCAACATTTGATAAATCAATTACCATTTTAGTGTTAACCATAATCTGTTCCAAAAGTTGTTAACCCCTTATTTAATATAGCGAATGTTACTGCTGTATCCATAAAGTCAAAGTGATTGCTTGAAGATATATTATCATTCATATCAAATTCACTACCACTACCTTGGAGATTTTCATTGTCAGTAAATGATTGACAAGGGACAGATGATTCAGGGAAAAATGAAAATTGTGACAAATCATTAGATATGGATCTATTCTGGAGAGTTTCTGCCTCTGTAGAATATGGCCAACTCATTCCTGATGATGAACTGGTTTCCATGTCACTTTGTTTATTGCTGTTTGTTGTATCTATGTTATCATTAAAGAGTAAAGGGCTGCTTGGAGGTGATGGGCAATTTTTTTCTTCAACTTCAGTAATACTGTGCCCATCCGTTTGAGTTGCATTATCTCCTGTAGAATTTGATGTGTTTTGTAAACCATGTGCAGATATTGCCATAAGTATCCCTTCATTCTCAACAGAGTTGTCCCCTGGCAAATTGTTAATGAATTCTGCAATATCTAAGGCTAAAAACCTTGACTCATTAATTTCTGGAATAGGTGGAGGATTGGCCCATGAATCTAGAACTCTGTTTATAGTATTATCCACAAAACCTTTTGCCATCTGAAAAATAAAAATTTTATGCTTCAGATATAGAACATTCAAACATCAGTGCTTTTTCTAACACAGAATTTATACTTGGAAGATAAAATACAGAACCAAATGCATATAATAAAATTATTTTTCATTCTATTAGAACTAAATTGTGTCAGAACTATAGTCTTAAAATTTCAACACTGCAATATTACCAACCTGTCTAGCCTGCCACCTGGCGATACATTGATCTTCACAATAATTATGTGACATGATCATAGACATGGACACTGCTATATTATCATTACTGTCCAAACTTGATCTGGGAGCTTTATTTTCATAAGAGCCTACATATCTTGGAACATATTGAATTGTGCTACTATAATTTTCTGCAGATATATTTGCGTTTGGCTTCAATAGTGATTTCTCATCGGTAATCACAGAATCTAATGTGTTAAAATCTTGTTTCAATAGGTAATCACCTAAAATTTCGAGATTCTGTTCAGTGCTTCCTACTAAATCCCTAGTATTAGTTTCATTCTGAAATGAAGTTCCAGGTTTGTCCAGTTCATTATTAACCACCGGTGAAGACTTTCCAGCGTCGTTCACCTCGTTTTTTAAGTGGTATTTTCCTTTGACTTGCCATGCAAAACGGGCCTTCTTGAGTGGGCGTTCGGATCCTGACGGAGCGTCGCCATTTTCTTGTCGTTTAGACGACGACTCCCCCATTGAATCCGAAATATTCATCACGAAAACTGAAAGAATACACTTCGATTCTTCAAAACTGTCATTAGTAAACAAACACTGACATCGTTAATTACCACCATATGATTGAATGACAAGTAGTTAATTAAAAGTTTTTAAGTTTCTAACATAACTTATTTACAATAATTGTGCAAAAATATTATTGTTTATAACTGCTGCTGTTACTTTTAATATGTAATTAGACTTCTATTTACAAAATTATGAAGATAAACGATAATATCGCCACAATCCATTGTAAATTTTTTGACGGATTAAATTTGTTTTTTTTTCTTTTTTACGGCCATGGATACAAGTTCTTTAGATGAAATCATAATCATAGGTAGTTTACTGATAAAATTTGTAACGAATTCATTAGAAGCTTAATTATGTGACACAGTTACCAAAGATTCTCACATGAAAAGGATTTAAATCTACCTGTTTACTTTTTTTTGGACACCAAAGAAGCTCTTATGAAACTTGTTTGTTTCTAACGAAACATTTATTGTGTTGCCAACTGTAAAAGTTCGAATTACATAATTTCTATCTAGTGAAATTAAAAGTTGTTATGATGTATTTCTAGTTTTTCCTACAAAACTTAGAGGGTTTTTTATGGTCTCAAGTGTTCTAGCTTGCCGTCCATATAAAAGGTGCAAGGACAGTGGTACTTGATGACGGAGAGGAGAGAACTGGTTAGAGTTCACCTTAAATGTAATAAGGTGCCTACTACTTCGAGGCATAGCCGTTTAGGTTGCGATAGAATGCGCAAAACAACATCGAGCCACTCGGCATGTGGTGGCAGGAAGACATACCGTCGCGACTTCTAACCGGCAGGAGTCTCGCCTTTTTGGTGAATGGATCTACATGAGCCAACATGACAACAAATCGAGTTAAATGACATGTTTGAATTAGCATTTTAGCCCTGACATAGCGCCTGAAAGTGATAAAAAGCAAGATTCTGATGAGTAATCTCGATAGCGCCGAGTCTTGTTTTTTATGTGAATCACAATATGTCTAGGCTAGTTCGGAATGCGAAAAACATCATATACTTTAACAAATAGGTCTGCATATATATTTGTAATGAAGTACTTATTTACCACTTTTAAATTACTTATTGAATGAACTTACGTAAATGATATCTGATATTGAATAGACTAAACTGCTACACTTTCTTTTGGATTGAATAAATCTTCTATTTAGAAAACTATCTAAGTTTATTATTCAGTAGATACAACCATATAAAGATATAATAACAATATTCATAACGTTTTATGAGTCATTGAAATTTCTTGTGGAGAAAGCGTTAGGTATCTTTTTATTGTAAATGCCCTTTGAATAAAATAATGGGTCGACAAGGTTCAATTTAGTATAACAACACGCTGCACTTCGTCAGATTCGTCCTAACGACTTATCGTTAAAGAGCCCTCAATTCAATCATAATGACCTCACAAAGGGGAGGGAGAATTCCCGGTATCTGTAATTGAAGATTGTGGCCAGTTAGTCCCTATTCATTGTCGAGACGCCGAAATATACTGCGTTGGTTCCTGCGGTGGTTCGAAGGCATCAGGATTATAATAATTATTTAAGTTTGAAGGCTGTTACTAATAATGCAGGTTAGTTGTACTTTCATATTGTTATTTATATTTGATATATCTTCATAAGTAAACAGAATCCTTTTGTCTGTCTGTTTATATGTCGCCTGCCTTGTAGTACTTCTAGTACTATTATTTACGGTGTTTAATTCTTAAAAGTAGGTACATGATATGGAAATGAAACAGGGATTAATTTATAGACTTCTATATATTAGGCCTTTGTATTGATTTCTTCGTCTGTTTATACATGTCCCTAAACATGAAACTAAAACATCAGTTAGAGATACCTATGACTTATTATATTAAAGAAAGATTACCTTCAACACGTCATGTTTTCTTAAAATTGACATTTTGGGTCATTCTTTGTTCATCGTAGTTCAAACATTTACAATTCAGTATTTCCCGAGTACTTATTACAGACATGACAGCCTCGGTGGTTTAGCGGTTTAACATAGTGCCTTACTTTGAATGGTCGCGGTTTCAATTCCCGGACGATACAAACAAAATAGGTAGGTACATAGCTTTACGAGATATACGAGTATAAATGTTTATATTGTTCTGAGGGGATTTCTTGACTTATATACCTACATAATACATTATATTATCTGTGATAATACGCATGTATTATGTAGCCATATAAGTGTATCTATCAGTCTTACCCATTTATTGCTTATGCTCAAATTAGTTTGGGACTAGATTAATCCTGAATGAATTGTCCTGAGTTATTACACCAACTTGCAAGAGTTTTGTACACAAGCAAACTGATTATTTTTGTATTTTTTTTCTGTATTTTCTATGCGATTACAACGGGTGGATAGGGTAGTAAAATTATTGGCTACTATGACATAATACTTGTAGATACTCAGGAATGACAACGCAAAATTATTCAATTCATTAATTACAAACACGACTCGATTTGAGGAATAAAATGTTTAATATATTATTTTCTAATATTTTCAACAGAACCTATTAATTCTGGCAATTGTCGGTGGGATGGTAATGAGTTTGCCTGTAACTCGAGCAGCTCCTCAGATGACTGATGCACAATTGGAGCGCACTTTAGGCGACAGAATTACAATGCAGAGACATCTCAAATGCGCACTCGGGGAGGGACCTTGCGACCCAGTCGGTAGAAGATTAAGAAGTATGTATATAAATCATCTAATAATATGATGCTCGTATTATAACTATTATTATGAAGTATGAAGAACTACTACTCGTAGACGCCAAGACTATCGAATTCTCCTAGGTTGAGGTGATGTGATTTTATTTTATGTATATATAAACTATTAATATTAATCGATTGTAAAAAACATTTTTTCATTAAATAATAACCTATTTATCTATAATCAATTATTAATTTAACTTAACCAAAATTTTCAGGTAACATTTTTCAGCTTCTTGACTTGAGTATGAACTCTTGTTTTAAAGGTCAATTGGATCTGTTTTTTTAGACTATTTCGATTAAAAATCGTCTATCGTCGTCTAAAAAAAAAAGAATTATTGCATAATCGATTATTTTTTCATTATATTCGATTATTTTATCATTTATAGCTTAGGACAGAAATAGAGAATATTATAAAGTATGAACAAATTTATAGTGTCGTTGTCAAAAATAAAGTTGCGCATTGGGGTGTCTTTGCACCCCATTTATTGTTATGAAAAGTGTTATTTTTCCTACATTACAAACATTAACTAAAATTAATAATATATTAATAATAACAAAAATTAACTGATTATTATGTCCTGCGATCGAAGTACATCAAGCAATTGAAGTAATTTTACAATTGCAATTACCAATGGCGAAATACGGTTCAAGGGCATTAGATAATTTACAACCTATTTTGAACAGTTTTCTCATTAGGAATTTCGTAACTGTAGTGAAAATACAAGGTAAAGCGTAACACTAAATAAACTCTAAAGAGTATGTACTGTACTGAAAGGATATTATAAAAAAAAATCGTACAATTATATGAATCAATTTAGAACAACGTGAAACTACACTAAAAGTCTAGTATGTAGAGCTGTACTATATAGCATTTGGCATTGGTTTTTTTAAATTAATCTAAACTAGTGTTAGTAAGAAATTAATGAAACACAGTAATTAATTTTTAAAATATGTAATAAAAAACTGTAATTCAAATCCCAAATAAGTTTAATAAAGATCTACATTCATTTATTATTTTAATTCAGTGTTCAATCATTTATTTAAGAATTTGCTTTTTTCGTTAATATTGGCACTGAAATCTAGCATTGGATTTAAATGGCCCAGAGGGAAAGAGTTAAACTCATATCAAGTCCATTTTCGAATTGCCCCTCTTAACAATTAAATTGATACACTTTAGAGCGTGGACACCACGTTGGGAAACACTGTTTTATACAGAATGTTGAACAAGTTCCATTTACCTAACAAGTGATGATCATTAAAAAATAATTTGAATCTGTAATAAATAAGAGAAAACAAAAGATTTATTTAAATTAAAGAATACAATAGATTTCAAATGTTCCTAATTTACTAATGATGAACTACTGATCTTCTATACCTATGAAACAAAAATTGTAACAACCTTCATAAGACAAGTTTGTTTAAAATTACATCTCTAGCTTGTTTAGAAATGCATATGAATTCAATTGAGCAACATATTACTTTTCATAGTAAAATAGGACAAAAACTATAATTGGAATAGGTCTTTAGAATAGATATACAAAGCAAGCAATAGCAAGTAATTAGGTTTCTTACTAGTAATTTATTATAATGTATATTACTTACCGTATCTAGGACACTCTATTCATGGAATTTAAAAGAACAGGATAAAAATTAAAACCAAAAAACCCTTGTCTATGTTTGGCGTGAAGTAGCTCGCTGTGTTTATTGTATTCAGGTCTGAAAGATGAAATATGGAAGTTCCATTACAGGATTCCGAAGTTCATATATAATTTACAGAAAATACTACGTTTCTTAGCTGCGTATATGAATCTGTTTCGTGTTATAAGTAGGTGACGGTTACCACTCATATAGGTCAGCAGGTAGTCTATAATTCCAAACCTATAAAAAATTGTGAATATGATAAATGGATTAACAGTATACTATATGGTTTATTATCTAATAAGTACACTAATGTGTTTTTACAGCGCTCGCACCGCTGGTGCTTCGTGGATCGTGTCCCCAATGTTCCGTGCAAGAGACTCTACAAATCCGTCGAACACTCGCCTTCGTACAAAGAAACTACCCATGGGAGTGGTCTAGAATTGTTCGTCAATATGGCTAATTAAAGAAAATCACTTGTTAAGATTTCTAATAACAATTATACACTTATTATTTATAATTTATACAATATGAATGTAGAGAGTGAAGTGAGTAATTATTCTAATTTCTATCTTAAACTTAATATAGGTACATCTGCCTACTGGTGTATACATTCTCAGTCTTATATTTATATATAACAAACAGGTAATATGGAATATTTCTAAAATTATATGCATTACAGTAGGTTATCCAGTTAGTTTTTTTTTTTAAACTCGTATGTTAAATAACAGAACGCTGAGAAGACTGTTTCCTTATCTAAATAAACGATTATTATTTACTTGTTGTTTATTTCGTATGCAGTTTCGCTCACGTAACGTACAATCACAGTGTATACGCACAGCCAACACCAAAAGGGGGGAGCCTTCGTTAAGTAAGAGGTTACGGCACAACTGCAAGTCTTAACATTCGCTACCCAGTCGCAGGCCTAAACGCTTCACTGACTTCGAAAAACTGTGAAACACTTATAGAAGTTAATTCCGGTATCCGGGTCAATAGTTAGGAACGCTCGAGAGTGCTGAAGTAAAAGTGTCGCCAGTGTTGTGCAAGCGACTCGGGATCAGACCAACGGAGATGCAGGTTTGTCGCAAATTGCAGTTTCGCCGTAATATTCGTTTTCCTCCTAGCTATCTACACGAAACGAGCTTTCGATCATATATTTAATGTTTACTAAACCTTGAAGGTCTTGGTTGCGTACTCGCATCCATTTGAATACCAATTTTATGAGCTTCAATTGTTTTTCATTGACCTTTGCCAAAAAAACCTCTTCATTAAAAATAACTATGTGTCTGCTGAAGATATTATACATTCAACCACTGGTTCCTTTAATTATAGGAATTTATGGAATTGTAAATCGATATATATATCGAATATAAATACTATCTAAATATACGGGTAATAGGACTTAATTACTTCTAGGAGGTTAATATGTACAATCTTGAATAATTCATTCGATAATTGCAGTTTAAGTGTACTAAATTATCTGATTCGCTAATTCTGTAAAATATGCTTATCATATTCGAGGCCTATGCAATGAAAACGAAATATTTGATTTATTGTTTTAACCCTATTTTCAGTTAAAATTTTCGACATTAAAATCGAGGTTACCTACTTATATGTGTGGAAGGTCTCTTACGTTACATGTTAGAGTTTGTCAAATATTTTACTTCTACATATTTGACAAACTCTAAGAAAAATAATAATAATATTATAATGAGAAAAATTGACAATTTCCTCAATCACTGAATACCTAAATGTAAACAACATTTCACAAATTTGAAAAAACATTACACCTATTATTCTATAACTAATATAGGTATGTATATCAGCGGGTAACATACACTATATAAGTAAATAGGTATTCTTTTTTATTTTTTTGCTATTTAATTAAATACAACATATCATCTGCTACTTCCTTATCCCATTTATTTGGGGTCTCATCTCTGTTCGCAGTCATATCGTTATTTACTCGCTTTCTCATATCATCTTTCACACAGTCCATCCAATTAATTAAATCAATCCATTCAATTAAACACAACATTTATCCTTAAAATAACTGTAGGTTCATGTGAAGTGCCGAATGAATCCCTTGTAATTTATAATTTGTGTTTGCGATATTAATTCGAATATGAGTTGATTACATGTTATTAGGAGATTCGCTCGCTTGTTTCTGAATAATTACTTAATAAGTAGGTGCCTACTTACCCATATTTATATATAAAAAAATTAATGTGTCTGTTTGTTTGTTAACTTTTTCGACTAAATACTTGAACGGGTTTTGATGAAATTTAAGATGAATTTTATCAGGAAGACGTTTACATTATCATTTTATCTAAACAAATCAGACGAAGTCGCTGGTTATGGCTAGTTTCTATAAAATGAAACAAGTATTTTTTACTTTTTATAACATCCGTGAATAAAAATTTTATGTAATATATAGGTACAGAGTACCTATTTCAATATCACAAAACACATAAAAATACTCTATGCATTGTTTTGTTCTATGTGAACCATTGTTAAGATCATGAGGATAATATATACCTACCTAATAGGTCAAAACGTACTCCTAATTTGTCAAAAAGTAGGCTAAGGACATCAATTTTGTTGAAATAATGTCCAAATTACTTTATTATGTACGATTTTGTGTGGATAGTTTCCTTAATATCTGTAGATTTTTTTACACATTTTACACATATCGTTAAATGTATATTAGTTTTAGCTAGACGTATCGATATTGAACTTACAGTTCTATTCATTATAACTTAATAATATTTAAATATTCCGCATGTTTAATGAGTCACAATGTATAAAGAGTTGCATGGAACTCCAATCTTTTGCAATATGTATCTGTTCTGATAACATAATTATTATGCAATAGATCGTTCTAAAAGATCATTCTCTACTAAATATCTATTTAATTTTGCAGCTATAGACAAATAAATATTTATGTGTCTATTAAATTTAGGATAAATCGATTTACTATTTACCTTGTGTCGGCATGTTCATAACATTTTTGCTAAAATAAGATATTAATATATGTATATATTACATATTGAGATCATATGTAATATATACATATATTGTGTATGTTTCTACCATTTTTTTATAATTTATTGCAGAAACATAGACAGAAATCAATGTAAAAAACTTGCAATATTTAAAGAAAACTTTTATTATCATGCCTTTTTATAAGTTTTCAAAAAAAGAATTCAACGACCTCAACAATGTATCCAACTTTGTTTTGGCCAGCTACCTTATAATATGTGGAAGATACTAGAGTAGACATGTCTATCATTTTTCATGACGTATGCGTTTTGTGTTTATATCTATACTTATATATAATTCCACATAAATATGATGTATACTTCATTAAGTAGGTTTACTGCGCTAAAAACTTAGCCTACCTAATGCCTACCAAATGTGCCATGTGGTAGGCGAGTGTAAGGTATTAGTAATCAATTGCTTATAGAATTATCAGCCAAGTCACGTCTGACAATGAGTGTAGACCTGATACATCACTTCAGTATTGACCCTCGACTTAGGCTGGCGTTATTCGAATTCATAATTTTATAAGAGTCTTATTTTTTATGTGTACGTACAACAAATCTATCATCTTTTTTCGAACCGTATAATATGATGAAAATGGATAGCAAATTAATTAATAAATCAATATAAAGATGCGATCGAATTGAAATAGAAACCTCTTTTTTTAATAAGTTGTTGATTTTTAATAAGAAAAATTTTGAATGTAGTGTTTGTCTATAACTTGACAAGTGTTTTTCACGGGTTAACATTTGAAATAAAAAAATACTAAGTCATTTATCCTTAGGTCTGATTTACGCCTATGTAGGCTGAGGTTTGGTTGTGCAAATACGTAACTGAGGTTAATATTACCTGTAGGTAACCCCATTTTGTATAAGGCCGTTAGCCATGTAATTAGTACTCATTTTAGCAACAGTATAACTCAGTTGATATGGAAATATCTATTCTTCACGTTAAATTGTTTGTGACATAGATCTATTGTGATCCACCCCTTCAACCTTATTTCAACTTGTTTGTTCAATAATAATAAGTATATAAATGAAATTTGTGCTGCCTAGATAAGTTTCTGGAACAACAAACATACCTATTACCTAATAATTATTTCGCCGAAATCGAACACACACTACGAACTACTACTCGAATTATTGACGTAATTGCTATGTTTGAACAATTATGTAAATAGCTCATACAGTTTATATTATTATGCATCTTTAAGTAGCATTATGATATATTAATTAATATATTTACATTATAAGTACCACTTAAGTTTTATAAATTTATTTAGTCTAGTATTTTTGAAAATTATATTTCATGTCATATATAGATAATATTATTTATTTATTTGAGCGACCAACAAGACATACACTATAAGGTTACAATTATTATAACTTGCAAAAATTTCAGGTATATAGTATTGACTTCTGGTTGCCACGGCATGCGTAAATGTTTACAGAAGTTTATATATGTATACATATTTATCTTTTTATTTTATTCTAGTTTATATATATATATACATACAATTTTTTTTTATTTTTTTTTTATATTATTTATGTTTGTAAAAATATTAAAATTTTAATTTTAACTGTGTTTAATGAAACGGGTTTGACTTTTGTTGCAATATGTGTTCTTGAATGGTTGACTTGAATTGGGAGAAACCAAAAAACACGTCAATATCCGAACTCTTCGCTAGAATGTTAATAATATTATGAAAATAATATTTAATTTAGTAATGATGGTTGGTTTAAAGTAGTTTAAACTCTTTGTTTTAAATATATATACCCAAAAGAGACATAGCCTAATTAAATTATTGCTATTAGTTAAATTTAACTTCAATTAGACTTCATTTAGATAAAGAACTATACCATTAGGGATTATAAAGAGTTCCAACAAATTAATTTATTACAAATATTTTTTTAAATCAAGACACGTGGGTAGGTAACTACTGGTATTTTTGCAGTCAAATTGTAGTAATAGTCTTCAACCTATCATCAAGATATTTTATTATGTTGCAAAAGTTTCTCATTTTAAACACATATGCAGTTTTAAGACTACATTATAAATTATTCAACAGTTCTGATCGAAAGCCCTATAACTTGTTTGGCGTCTGTAATCGGCAAATTCATCGATACTAACTTTTAATATTATTGAAACAAATAACACAAACAGACACATGACTGTAATCTCAGATGGGGTAGACAGAGGTATTGTCAACTGTCTATATTGTTGTAACGCAACAATCAATGTTACCCACTATTACATCATTATGAATCAGTCAGTTTACAATAATCTTTGTAGCTTAAAAGTTAAACTAGTGGTATTGTAAAAAGTAATTTCGATTCAGCATTTATACCTATTTTAATATAACTGGTATAACAATAAAAAATAATATAATAAGTTATAAGACAG